TCCTTGGTCTCAGGCTCGGAGAATGGCCCTGTGCCATAGAAAGCTTGGGAGGATGGATCGGTGGAGGCTGGGGAGACGCTTGGGTCAAACTTCTCGGTGAAGTTCCAGAGGAAGTCAAAGTTCCTGTTAAGATCCACACCAACGCTGAGAGGCTCGTTGGGTCGGGACGACGCTGGGTTGCGGTTCTTGCGCCACAAGTTGCTGTTGGCCTGGTCGTGGCGAACACCGTCGGGGTTCAGCATGGGAATGAAGACAACACCAGCACCGAGAGCCTTCTTCACTTGGCTGTTGGTGTACGTCTTGTTGCCATAAGTGAGTCCGATGCGGTGCTTGTTTGCATACAGCAGATCGGAGATGAAGTAAATCAGGTTGTCCGGTCCACCACGTTCTCTAGCGTGGATACCGCTGGTAAAGTAGATGTACTGCTTATCCTTCTTAATCTTCTCGGCCTTGTTCGCGACACCACCAATAATAGTATTGCCTTCATATGTCTTGTGTGGTGTTGTGAAGAGGGTCATGCCGTATTCCTTCTCCAGGCCCTTCATAGCAGTGTAGACTTCATCTGCGTTGAGGATACCTGCTTTTTGAAGAGCAGCATACTCGCTAGGCTTCCTCGTACCAAGACCGCGGGGCGCAATCTTTCCTCCCTTGAATCGGTCGCCGCTACCGATAGGCGCGGTAGCTGTCTGGCGCTTGTTCAAGTTGTCCAAGAGTTCGACACGGACGAGTTCAGGATCCAGGCTGCGCTTGAAGTGATCCAAGTGGTTTTCTGAAATCACAGCATGGAGTTTGTGCTCATTACCGGCAGCCAGGACTTGGGGGCGGCAACCATAGTCGACTTCGCTGTTAGCGGAGATGAAATCGTACAGTTGATTCTTCTCCTTTGCGTAGAAGGCGACGCTCAGCACATCAGAAGCGATTGCAGCACCTGGAAGCAGGCTGAGAAGTGTGGAGACTTTCATGATGAACTGCAAGAAGAATGCTGCAACAAGCTATGAGTGCAGGGCGTGGAGAAGTAGAATGTTGCCACAACACGGCGTTATGTATTCCACATCAAGACACAGAACCTGCCGTGGCACAATGTGGATACAAGGACATATTTACCAGCTTCCTCATTTGGTAATTCAGGATGCTATCACCCAAGCCTCCAAGACTGCAAGCGTGCTTGGCTCGCGTGCATGCCCAGCAGTTCTCAGCAGGTCCAACTTGTTATCTCGGAGCCACGGCCAAACAAATATGTAGCCTAACGCAAAAGAGCGTGCGGGCTGTAAGTAACAGCAGGCATAATAAACGGAATCCCTAGGATCCAGACTCCTGGTTCGCGGGATGATTGTGTCGCCAAGCCGACTGACATTTCGTTAGCAAGGCACCCGTGATTGTGGCTTTTCACCCGTCAATACGTTATCACGGGAATACAGCTGCGAATTGCACAGCCCCAGGGGGGCGACATTTTGGAAATTTCTCTATTATCTCTGGTTAGCGATGAATTGAGGAAGAAGAAATATGAACATACATAGGACTGGCAATGTTCCACGGTTCATCCTAGGTTATCTTGTCATTCAGGCGCGTCGTGCACGTACCACATACTACGTACGTCAACCGACTCTAACCACCCTACACAAGAACCAGCCCCTACTTTTTTTGTCAAAGTACTTCGCTGGACAAACTTCTGGAAGGGCAATGCTTGCCAAATCGGCGCCGCAATCATCACAATGTGAGTCATTTGGAGGCTACGATATCCAGAATAGTAACAAAGAAACTACTGCGCTTCTAACAACCGGCAGGACCATGTATCAATGGTCAAGCGAATAACTTCATCGGCTACGAGCTAGCCTAATCACTAGTGACATATCTTGCTTTGACGATAGTATATTCCGCAATGTCAGTTGTCTAGTTGCATACGATGTAACCGTAGAAGGCCGACCGCTTTGTGGATTCTACGAATGACAGATCGTGGTTGCATGGTCTCTTTAGGTTGGCTGTATCTTATATTGGTTGGATCTTTAGGGGAAAATAGGACTTTCTCCATGTACGTACTAGAAATTGCCATTGTTCGGTTCATTGAAGCTCCGGAAGATAAACGCACGAGGTCCGCTTGTGGGGTAACTGGCCAGCCTAGAGACGCCAAAGACACCATACTTAGTGCGGTACGTTAGTTCGAGAAAATGGTTGCTATAGGTTCCAGTCGATGTTCCGTTCGGAGCTTGAGAACATTGCTAGCATTTAGTAGCATAGAACACCTTTTGGTAACCCAAGAATGATTACCACTTTGAGAAATGCTTTAACGATGCAGAAAGATTCATAGCAAAAATCAGATCTCGATAGTCCTACGAGAAAAAAGAGTAAGTAGTGCCAGCCAAGTGTAGAAATAAAACAGAGCAATGATGAATATACCATCATCTTTAGCGCTTCTCTGCCAAGATAGCGTTAACGCCTATCTCCGTGCCTAGGCACCTCCGTCACCCTTGAACCTCTGTCGCGATAGCGAGTATGAAGCCGCTCTGAACAACTTATGCCGCAAGGCATTCGATTCTAACATGGACTATGCATCAATACCTCCAGAGATCAATGTGCTGCTGCTTGGTGATGCAGAAGTCGGCAAGTCGACCTTCTTATCGTAAGTCTGGCAAGCATCGCGTGTCGTTTGGCGTTTCCCACAGCACGCCTTCGAAGACTGCATGTCATGTAAATGATAGCGCATAAAAGCCATCGTGTACACTATTGACATGGTCATAGGCGCCTGAGCCTCGGTATCCAACCCCGAGGCGACGACCTTCCACCGTACGAGCTCCCGACGTTGCGCGATATAGACCAGCCCTTCGCTTTCGACATCACACTCTACGGCCGTCCATATAGACTGCAATTCTTCGATACCGCTTCGCCTTATAACTACACCCTTCTAAAGCCCCAATTCGTGATCCTCTGCTACGACATCTCCTCGCGCGCCTCGCTCGACTCCTTGTCAACGACATGGCTGCCTATTGTGAATAAGCACTTCAACTATGATGAGAATCTGCCGGTCATGGTCTTGGGACTGAAGAGGGATCTTAGAAAGCAATGGACGATAGAGGAACATGGGCCGGATAAGAAAGGCAAAGGCGCTAGTGTTATGCCCCATGAAGGGGTACAGACTGCACAGCAGATGCTTTGCGATCGCTATGCAGAGTGCAGTGCGCTAACGGGCGAATTATGCCGCGAAGTATTAGAAGATATTGCGAAAACAAGCGCGAAGACGACAACTGAAGCTGGCGCAAAGAGTCAAGGACCAGATATGTGTAATGTCATGTAGTCTACAAGATGTGGAGACTGCACACGTCGTACATACCATTAGTACCAGTCGGAAATTGCACGAAATATTGTAATCTGCTTCTCACTTCCATTAGTACCCGCTCTGTTCTTGCTGCGGTAGAAACAATTGTGCCGTTGATTTTACAGCATGAGTGCAAAAAGACGGCAGTACACAGAGCTTCAACAAAAGATGGAAATGACATGAATTGACGTCTTAAGTAAGAAGGAAATCCAAAAAAAGATTGGTTGGTGCGACACCTGTGTGATTCGAACACACGCTCCCGAAGGAACTGGCTAACTTTCCCGTACAGGACTAGCAGGCCAGCGCGTTAACCACTCCGCCAAAGTGCCGAGTTGTAATGAACTGATGACAAATCAATGATTTAACCAATATCTATACTCTATGAGTGTCATATTCACTGAGCCGCTAAAGAAAGCCAGAGGCGGAGGGTGGGCTTGCTGACTGTGTGGCGGCCCATGTCTGCGAAACTCCAGTTCGTTATACAGGATACCTTGTGCACAATCCTCTGAAGGCAAAAACGAGCCTCCTGTTTTAGGAGAACACCTATCGCATTGCATATGCGATCTCTCGGTTGGTGCAGTGGATCGTAACCCGTATCCATGCATCGGTAGTGGGTGTGTTTTTTTCAAGGAAAAGACTGGTCGGCAAACAATATCGCGAGCGAATTAGTGGACATTGTCTGCTGCGCTCATGAGCGGTACAAGATGTGAAAGCTCAAGAGGAGATCAAGACGTGAAAATTTGTGTGAAAATTCACCTGTTGTTCTTGTTCCAGTGACCATTTTCGGTGCTATTCTATAACCGGTTAGATCAGTATTCTCGCTTGTCCTGTGGACAATGGCAATCTCAGCATTAACGGGCATGCATATAGGTGCAGAAAACTCAGTATTAGACAAGTTAGACATAACTCCCGTACTTGAGAGCATGGAAATTGATATTGAGGTATTGCTGAAAAGGCGTTAACAAAGCTTCATCTCGCAAAGACCAGCCAAAGCAAAGGAAGTTGGCGCATACTAAAATCAGAGTGTAGGTGAACAGCGTTAGCCAATATGTAATAAACGTCCAAGGGGACACTGCGAGTCTAAGCTAAACCGTCATTCGTATACTGCGGGTTTAGGTGCACGCCTGTGAATATGACTTCGATACATATATTGATTTGGGTTAGCCAAACGTACATACCTTGCAACAACTAACAAGACAGAACAGCGCATGTGGCAACGTGTCGAGACGCTTTTCGTCACATCAGCCGCTGCGTTGTATGTGACGACACTTCACACCAGTCACGATTTCGCTTGACGGGTTGTCCAATCACATGTCACTCGTTCCTGTGTCTTGGAAGTGAGAGTGGCTCAAGCTCCGCCCCATCACCACAACATCAACAATACTTGACACTCATGTCTCACCTTTGTTTCTCATAAGAATTCACAGGTAATGAATCTGATACTATACATCATAGGATGTTCTCTGTCCCCACTGTCAGAGCAGGTGCTCAGCGTCGAAGGCGCGACACACCTATATCGCAGATAGTTAGTGCTCTCAGCCCCTCTACTCACCATCTCAGTTATCAGCATAACCCGGACGACGGGTCAAGAAATTCGACTCTCATTTGTAACTATGCGGCAAACGACATCCAACCAAGTTCCTGAGAGTACTCCAGGCAACGCGCATAACAAGACGAATCTTGTCGTTCTGACCGCGCGTTGTAGATGCCAGAGATAAAAAAGCAACATACGCGATTGGACTCAAGTCACGGCCATTTACGGAGGCACATACGTCCTTGAAATGATCAGACTTTCGGCAAATGAACAAATACTTTCAACTGACGATAAGATTACAACTTTCTCAGCTTGTCCAGGCAGATAAATATTCATCGGAAAAGATCAACTCTTTGGAAAACCAAACTCCAAATCCCAGGTCATCAGAGGAACTAAAACGCATATAATAAGATCATCAGAGAGCCAACCCAGAGGCAATATGCGCGCTAAATCCATACTCCGGCAAAGAGAACATGATACATCTGCCAAGGTACGGGGTATAAGACAGAAGCTTTTCGAGGACCCGGTCGTAGTGTCAAAGTCACGGCTGGCACTTGCACCGTATCAGGTGCTTCGTCGTATTCGTTGGGTGATTGGGATGGGTGCGTTTACGAAGACATTAGTCTCGTCAGCAATACGAGATTGCTTCTCTTCGTATTCGAGAGAAGACATCTTCAGATCCTCGATCTGAGCCTGTCCTTGTCAGTCTCCAAGTAGCATCATATGGGCCAGGCCGTGTACCTTAGTTAGTGGAGGCCCAATTGTCGTGATCAAAAAGCCGTCACGTCCCTGGCCAGCGAATCAGCACTTGTGATATAGTGCAAGAGCGACTACCAAATACCTGGAAAGTGTAGGGACGCACTATCGCATCCGGGCCGCAATGGTATCGGATCTCGTTCTGGATGACGGCTCTTGAGATACCAAAGCCTGGAACAAAATAGGAGTTGGGTACCGTCATGTTGTTCGAGTTGGATTGTTCACGAGAGGGGTTTATGATTGGGACCGGATTATGTTATTCGTTGCGTGTGGGTGGTGGAATTGATGTTGGGCATGCAGAAGACTTATACACATGACCAAAGGCCTCTTGTTCCGGATCCGCTTACACATAACCACTTACACACCGGTACCTCTCGGGGCGAAGGTGCGACGCATCCGTTGCGACCAAGTCCTCGTTGGGCGTGGACGCACTGATGCCTTTCGCCTCATTGTTCGCCCTGCTCAGCCCAACCAACGCCATTGGGCAGCGAGAAAGACCGAACCGCAGGACACCCTTTACAAACCGACCGCTCGCAAAGTTTCCTAACTCGTCAAGAAAATCTGGCATCTTGAACAGTCCATGGCCGAACTCGATATGCATCACATCTCGGCATTAATGTCTGAGAAAGCCAGCACAGCTGCCACGTCTATAGATTCGGGTTGCACAGAACGACTGCGGACACTTTAAGACGATCTCTTTGCCACCGCGACCTCAGAAGAGATTTACAACAGTCTCTTCTTCACTTTACACCCTCCCTAGAGGCATAATCTGACCGGCTGATGTTGACGACGCACCAACAGCATCTTGGCGAACACACACACACCATGCCGATCATCGTTCAGAAGGCGTTCCATGATTGACGCCGGCTATCATCCCACGGTGTCCACACCAAGATGACGGTGACATGGTGCGAACAAGTCGGCTGTGCTGGTTTCACCGCTAGATTCCTTGGGCACAAGGTCTCCATGGTCGCGGGGAGCAGGGAGACCCCTTCAGGTACGCCACACTGGGTATGATTGCAGCAAAATGGTACATGAATATGCGAAGGCTAAGCTACCCCAGCTTTCATACTGAAATACCATTCGCCTACTCACAAGTGTTACGCATCAACCCTACTTAGGCATCCGGGCTTCTCCCACGGTGGACCAACGCAGCGCCAGCACGAAGTGGCAATACACAGCCTGTCCATGATGTAAGCTTGGGTTACCCCGCTTTTCATTATGGATACAATCTGGCGCTGTCAGTGGAAGTAACTGCAGTGCAGTATGGAGATGGGTGATGAAACACTCAAGAGTCATCACTCTTTGTTGGATGTGAAACTGCTCGCGGCTGGGGCTCAGACCCATATCGTACTTGGAGCATAATGTCTTGCCTAGCCGATGCAGTGCAAAAACCACGCTTTGCTTTTTCTGGGCTTGTTATTCCATTCAAGATCGTTACCGGATCGGCAATCTAGTGACGGTCACGGCTCTTGGAGAAGGTGCATGAGTCGCGTACACGTGTGCGAGGGAGACGAACATGTGTCCAATGCCCGAGATCCAAGCACCTGTCACAGTTACAGGGCATACCCTTCATGTGTCGGGCTTACCGCGCAAGTTCTGCAATGCAATCTGCTCGTACGCCAACTCACCTTGCATGAGCCCGAATCCAAACGACATTTGACTGCTTTGGCTGGCATGATGCTTCCAAAACGAAAGGATTTACGACTACATTTTACTACTATAGAAGACGTGGAACCGTATAAGAACCTCTGCTCTCGGTATTACTGCGGTCGTACAAGGTGTCCTGCTACAGGATATGCAGCATCACGCCATACTAGACAGGCACGGCATTGGGCATTTTAACGATGAATGGAGATTCTGCAGAAGGTGACGTAGCCCGGTATACGCTACAATTCGTGTAAGATACAGCCGGAGGTTCCATAGCTTCGTCGGGAGTATGGCGGCGATGAATCTGTCTCTATAGCGGTATGGTTATGGTAGGACGCATGCGGGGTACGGACAGAAAGTCTGCGGGGCGGGAGAATCACCTTCCCCGAGCAGAGTAGTATGTCTGCCAATGCAAATGTGCCCCGTTCTCCGAAGCCGCTCGCCTACGCTCGGCGGGTAGGCAAAGAGCTATTCACCATGAGGCTGCCTCGGTTCTTGGCCAGTGCAGTTATCGGCGTGGCCTGCAACCGGGACATGGCCCCACCTTGCAATTTCAAGTCTCAACGTGTTAGCTGAACAGCCAGTGTGAAGCATCACCTTCTGGACATTGTATGAGTCTTGTATGCCCAGTTGCCACGCCGAATCAAAGACGCGTCATACTCGTGTCTGCCACGGATACCAGGATACCTAGTTCTGTCGCCTTAAGTTCCCGTTGATAGCAGCACCAGATGGGAAAAGGTCCTGGCGATAGACGGCCATTGACCCACAAACGTCGTGTCAATGGGACGCTGCCGCCTCCCACCCTTTTCTTTCAGATTCCCGCTGTACATGTGTACGTGCTGATGCCAAAAGACGCCTCATGTGGTGATTGGGTAGGGTCAGTCACAAGAATGAAGCAGGGATAAAGCTACAGCTGGGCGTGGATCCATACCACATGGAGAGAATTACAAGCGCGTGCTGGCTTTGAACGAGCAAGATGGGGGTATCCACTTGCAATCAGCCTCCCACCTTGCATGTACCTGATTTGCAGGCACCAGGAGATGCCACGAAGGACAATTTGGTGTCATTGGTACGAAACAGGCTTTGGTCCCAAGAGGGACACCGGTCTTCTTGTCGGGTCACAAGGACATATCACGATGTGTATCAGGCCCAAGAGCTTGAAATGTGCCATTCCGGAACCATTCTCACCTCTGGCAGGCTTTTTGGTGTCTCAATGGAGTCCATGAATGCGCCACATGGAACTTTGGGGGCTAATCATTGACTTGGAAAGTGAGGCCACTAGGTTCACGAGGACAGCTGCAAAATGCTGATCATACTGCTAGCAGGGCATACCGGCAACGGGACGAGGATGCATCCGTTGCGGAACGAAAAAGGAAGACAAGAATATTACAATGATAAGGCGTAGTATGAGGAGTGGGATATGAGGGATTTTCAGTCGGGACGGTGCTGGCTGGGGAGCAATCACCTCGGGGTCGTGTGTGGTGTCGAGGAAAAGGACATGCGGACATGGACTGACGTAAAAACGAAGAGCTAGGAAGAGAAGAAGCCTTTGCTTTTTTATAGTATTTCTCCTCTACTGGGAGGAGATGGATGGTGCAAAGGGAGATTGGAAGGTGAGATTGTAATATCCGGCCCGGTTCCGAGGTTGAACAAAATACTCTAATAAAAGCCCTTGTACACTTTTCTCCTTGGTATATTGCTTCGTTTTCTGGTCTCTTCGATTGATGCCTCTAGATGTTTCTTTTTCCACCGGGTTCGAGCGGTATCGATATTACTTTGACATCCTTCATTTGCCAAGTGACGAACAAGGGTACGGGACCACAATGAACACAATCTCTTGCCCTTTGAAAGACTTAAGAGGCGCGCAATCTATGCGACACGCAGGTGATGCTACAGTCGCATGCAAAGGTGACATTTTGAGGCCCAAGACGGGTTGTGTGTAGATAGGTGGACACCTCTCGTGTATTCTTTTTTACATATCTTTCCGTCTAACAGGGCAATGACGCGTCAACAGGGAATAGGATGAAGTATGTATTCTCTTATGCATCTATTACCTTGCTTACTGTGTACGATGGTGATGTTGAGCTTTTGAGCTGGAGCTGCGATGGCCAGGAAGCGGCGTGAGTTTGGTTGAACACGGGTAAATGATAGCGGTCTAGGGATCAAAGTTGGACGTGAGTCGCGAATACAGTTTGTGGACTATTTCCAGCCGTTCAAGCGGGTTAAATGGCGAGGGAGGACGATAGAGTTTGCATGACAAAAAGGAAACATGGAAAGTGGTGGAGTTGGATCTGAAGCCAAGACAAGCCACGGGCGGAGACAAATGGTAGTTAGTATATAGTTGCGACAGCAGATGCACACAAAAACGTCATTAATGTAGTTGGGAAGAAGTATGTTTAGGCAAAAAAGGGGTGCTTGCGCATAATGGATGAACTATTGGAAAGCAAGCGAAAGAGAACAGGCTATTGGAAAAGGGCCACATGGGGGATTGGAAAAAAAATATTAGCAGAATGTTTAACAGATACCTGGGCCTATAAGATGGCTGCAAGGTTGAAAATGAAAAGAGTGGATGGCAGGCATGCCGAGGGCCAAAGAGGGAGGTGAGGTGCGGCGGTCTCGACCGTTTGGGATCGGCAACGACAGGGAAAAAGCCAAAGTGGACTGGCCAAGGGGCATGGCCCATGATGATATACGCAGTGTTATGTCTCTGCGAATGAAGGGACACAGTAAGACGCGGAGGGGGAAAACGTGGCGCGTCGTCGTCTTGTGGCGCGGCTGAGGCAAAGGAAATGAAAGGATGCGGATACGGGCTCACCCCACAGAGGCCGATAACGACAGGCTTACAGCGTGTTTCGCAGACAATGTTTAACAGGGTCAGCCAGGCAATGGACGGACGCAGATGGCAGACAGTTCCGTTCCAGCCACCAGGACCATGGTGTTGAGGAGCCCGGCAGTCGAGGAATAGAGGTTTACAGTATGTTGAGGACAGGCGTGCCAGTGGCTTGCCGCAACAGACGAGTGGCAGCAGCCATGATACGAGGACATGTGTACATTGCACTGAAAATATTACCCTCGTGACTTGTCGGCGGCCACTGGGCAAAAATCTAGACGCGCAGTCTGACGAGGACGGAGCCAATCACAGCTGCGGGCTGGCACAAGGTTGAGGATTAAGCAGCTGGGCGGGAGTTCGCTGCGTTCGCGGCAGCTCGCACGGCTGGGCCTGCAATAAATAGATTGGGCCGAGGCCGCTTGACCACGAACGGCCGAGTGGTGGTGAGGATAGGCAGTTGGTCCGCTGCTGCTACTTAGCGGTGCATGCGCTGACCCTTTCACCAGCACCCGTTATATGATAACTGCTAGCCCACGCCTGATCGCCGCCTGCCGACGGCTTGCTACACCATCGCCAACAAGACTGCCTCCCAAGAGCATAGACGAGTCCCCCGGTGGAGTTTGACGCTGTCCCACACCGGGCACATTGCAGCCTCTGGCCCTCGCGGAACGAGACGAAACACGCGCGGCCTCCCTGGCCAGCCAGACACTCTCGGCCCTTGCCCTTGCCTACCCCCATATACCCTCATCTTACAAGGCCGCCGCTGCGCACCCGCCGCCCACGGCCCTGCCTCTTTGTCTCTTCCTCCACCCTACACCTCTCTCTCACCCTCACGTCGCCGCCGCCGCCGCCGCTCTTCTTTGCTGCGCGACCGCCCGCCCACCTTTGTTCGCCGTCACTCGTTATTTGTCTTCTGTTCTTCCTTCTTTGCGCCGCCCTCTTTTGCTCGCCACCCGGCGCCGAACCCTCCTTCACAACCAACCCACCCGACTGCACTCCACGCGCACCGTTATTTCCGCCTCGAGCCCTGATCTACCCGTAACCAGCCACTGCTGCACCCCGACCCGGGTGTGTCTACGGCTGACTGCTGGTCCACATTACTTCTTCTTCTCCTTGCCGTACTTCTTCTTCGTCATCTTCGCCTTCACCATCATCATCATCGGGGTCCGCTGATCCCCTAACCGCCCACCATGTCTATCCGTGCGCTTCGAGGTACCATCCGCACCCGCCAGACGATCCCACATGGCCGCATGCTAACCTGCTGCCAGACGCCGAAAACGTCTTTCGGATAGAGAAGCGATGCAAGCTGTGCGAGCAAGCACCACTGTCCTGCGAGGGCATCAAGTGCCCAGCCAACCAGGTCTGTGTCCAGAACTCGCGAACATGCGACGAGTGCGCCTCCGTCAACTGCCAGGTCGACCCTACCATTGCTCCACCTGAGCCTAGCAAGCCAAATGTCGGCGCCATTGCCGGCGGTGTCATTGGAGGTATCCTACTCGTCGCCATTCTCACATTCGTAGTTTGGAAGTACTGCCTCAAGGGCAAGAGGAGGCCCATTTCCCAGCAACCCGAATGGAACGATGTCGACGTTATCGAGCAAGAAAAGGACAACGACTTCGAGTCACGCCGCAGCGCTCGCGCATCTACACACACCGTCGCTTCCATGGCCTCGTCCGTCCTCACTCGCGCCTCAAACATTATCCAAATCGCTTACATTCCTGGCGTCACCAACCGCTCGGGCAACCCCGGATCTCCCGACCTGCTTGTTCCTCCCGTCCCTCCGATCCCCTCCATGTCGCCTTCGTCGGGCAAGAGCAGCCCCTACTCGTCTGCCGATCAGCACTTCTTCGTCCCCGACTTCCGCGACTCCATGATGTCTTCTAGTACTGCCGGCCGCACCAGCATCGCACCGAGCCTTGCCCAACGAGGCAGCGTCGCCTCGACCATGTACCGCCAGAACGCCATTGTCTCTCCACTTCCTGCTCAGACCATTGTGCGTGGCAAGGCCGCCGTTGTTAGTGTAAAGTCGACGGGATCGAACAGCCCAGGAGAAACACCCACCCAAACACCACCAGTACCCTCAATCGACCCCAAGCACTCTCTTAAGCCTATTCGCATCCAAATGCCTGGTATCAGCCCAGCAAACTCCGTCCGTAGCACCGCTCAGCTCGGCCCAGTCAAGGCCCTCCATATCACCAAGAAGAAGAGCTCTGAGACTACCCCACCAAAGAGCTCAAGCTCAACCACGGATACCGAACGAACCCTAGTCAACACACCCGAGCGTCGCACCTCAGCCGGACGACCTCTCACTGCTAGTTCCACGCTCTCATCCGACGATGGCAGGGAACACTCACACGCACGTAGAGGAAGCCTGGCATCAGACACTGAAGACGAAGAGGACAACCACACACGCGCAAACCAGACACTTCTTGGTAAATCAGCCAACCGCGATTCCGATATGACGGAATTCCAAGACACGACTCCCCATATGGATAACAGCCCTTTTTCCGACAACTCATCGCTCGATAACCTACGACCCATGATGTCTCAACGCATCACATCATACGACCCGTCGTCTGGCCTCCGCACCCCAATGACACCCATTGTCGAAGAGTCATCCGCTTCGAAGCGAGGCAGTACAGTCTCCAACCGAAGGGATACCAGCCCCTTTGCAGACACCAACCGAAGTGAACTGTAATCGATCTTTTTTTCGATTCTTTTCACACTGGGTGGGACTTGATGTCACGGGTCGACATTGAACCCAGCAAGGCTGGGCCGAGCGAAAAATATCTTCTTGTCCTAGTGTTTTTTGTGTTCTTCATTCTACGAAATCAAGGGGTCTAGGGACAATGTGTATGGACCGAGGTCTGGCATCTCGGATGCCGTTATTTCGCTCTCTTGCTCTCTTTCTCCCTTCATCCTGTTTTGGATATACCCCTTCTTCTTTTTCTGCGCGCGCTCCCTCTGTCTTATGTAGACGTGTGCCTCAGTGTGTGTGTGTGTGAGTGTCTTCAAACCTTCTCCCCGTTCATTGATATCCCAAGGATCTTTGCTTGTTGCTTCTTTTTTTTCTTCCTCTCGAAGGTCATGATCTCTATTTTTTTTCTATCTGTCCATACTTGACGTCTAGCGCCGACGTACGTTTTCCTTTATATTTTCCACATGTATCTACGAGGAGGGGTGGGCTCGCTGTGTGAGTTGAAGTGAGGAGGAAGGAACAAAGGAAGCAAAGTGTAGATGGAGATAGAAAAGTAAAATAGCAAAAAAAGCCAAGAGACGAGCAGAAAAGACGGAAAACAAAAGAGTGTCTTGTTTTCCTCGTCTCTTGCTTGTATGTTAGAAACGCAGTAGTATTGATATATTATCAATTCTTCTCCTATCCTGATCTTTGTCTTTGAAATCATACACACACACATGTCCTCTTCCCATATCCATGTCCATGTTCAATCAACTCCCCCGATACGTCGTATATCCAAACGGCCCCAACAGCACCGGCACATGATAATGCTCGCCCTTGCCCCCCTCCCTCACCACAAACTTAACCTCGACCTCTGGAAAAAACGTCGCTATGCCCCTTTCCCCGAAATACGCCTCTGTATCAAACGTCAATGCGTACCGCTGGTCGCCCGCTTGCGCAAACGCTTCGGCCAGCGTAGTCGACGAGAAGGGTGTACTGGGGGTCCAGGAAGTTACGCGGCCGTCGGTGTTTGTTGTTGCGGTGAAGCTGAGGTTGGAGGATGAGGTGGTGGAAGACGAGGAGGACGAGGGGTACAGAGTCAATGTTACGGGGATGTTGGCGGCGGGGCGGCCGATGGTTGTGTCGAGGACGTGGCATGTGATTGGGGGTTTTGCGGGGGGATTGCTCGACATTGTGGGTGTTGTGGTGCTGTTGCTGGAGGGTGGTGGGGTTGGGGCGGAGAGGTGCGAGAGGAGGGAGGTTAGGCGTGGAGTTGGTGTGGGCATTCGTTGGTGAGGATGACAGAGAGGTGAAGGGTCTGTAGAGGTTGGAGAAGCGGCGGCGGCGGCGGCGGGTGGAGGTCGTGGTGCGAAGGGAAGTTGTGATGCTTTTGGGTTGTGAGGGAAGATGGGTGGGTGTATACGATACCCCTCTAGCCCACCCTTCGGAGCTCCCCGGTGCTAGGGAGGTACCGATACTACTACGATTTATGGTATGTTGTTCTATCTTGCGTCGCGTTTACGATTGCGATTGGCAATGGGAGTCACGCAAATTGATGGACTCGCCTTGATTTTTTTTTTATCGGCGTGGGAGATTGGAGAGAATTGTCTGGTGTACATATGGTACCCTGGCTTCATATCTCGTGCTATGCGCAAACAGAGTACATATGTATGTCACGCGAATGTATCGATAATCAGGATCTTTTCTTAACAAACAAGGAGCGTTGGAAAGAATTGATGTTTGTGTACAGCGTGTGTTAGATAGAACCATATCAGCGTGTAGTTTGGTGTGGCATGTAGACTTGGCATCGTTGTCATTTGGGAAGGAGCGACTTGGGGTTTACATTTTTACGTACATGCCTTTTGTCCATGTCTGGAAGACATACATAAAAATGGATGCACATGCAAATGCGATGAATTACTGCGCGCTTAGATAAACACAAGGGTATGCAAAGAGGAGCATGCGTGCTATGGATCTGATCAACTCCGAGTCAACCAAGGCACAATGATATGCTGCAGATTACTCTTAATATTCTACGCTCCTTGATTATATTCCAAGTCTCATATTTCTCGGAATAGCTACAGTGAGTGCAGTCCTATACACTACCTGCGTAATCCCATCCTCATTTCTCATCAAGCGTTCAGACATGCACCTTCGCCATGTCCTCGGTGTCGCAAAAGCGAGTCATGACGTCCAAATGATCAACGTGACAGACAATGTTTGTTTGTCTCACCTTAGCGGTACACTAAAAGATATCGTCGATTGACAAACAATCAGTTGAACTCGAGACAGTTTGACTGCAGGTAAGTTTTTATCTCTCCTAGACCATGTTAGGAAAGGGGGTTGGGTGTGATTGTAATAGATTCACGGCTAGATCACCTTTTCGACACGGGACCGTGGTCGTGGGATAATTGCAGTGCGACGTAATCTCCATCTCATGGGTCTCTTCCCATACAAGACAGCGAGGGTATCGCACCATTGCAAGATATCAACATACTACTACGTGCATGTATCTTGGAGCCAGTGAGAGGAATATCAGCCGCGGGCTTGCCAACAGCAGAAAATATGTCGTTGTCTACACCTACGACATGTCGCCCTGAATCATCGGCATGGTTGGCTGGCAGTAGTGGCCGTATTGACGGGAAAAAGCACCGTGCAGCAAAGTTAAATTATCAGCAAAGCTGGAAATAGAACCGATCGTTTCCGATCACTTCTAGACCGACTGCGTATGATTCAGGCGGGTTAGGGGAGGTGGTGTGTAGCTGAGTGCTGGGAGTAGAAAAAGCATGGCGCAATAGTTGCGGTATGTGTAATGTGGAGAAGCTGCCAGAGTGACGCAATGATGAAAGCAGGTCGACGAGGGACGTGATTTTCATGATTGCTTTGCACGGACGTGCTGCAGGTATTAGCTGCGGTCCATGCCTTGAGTGCTTCGTTGATTGCCCGAGTAGTCGAGAGTACTCAGCAAAAGGAATGCGAGTCCGGGGAAGCGGCATGTCACCTATTGCTTTGATATGCACTGGTTAGTGAACTAGCAGGGACGCGATGGTTAGCTCGCGTGCGCGCATCAAAGGCAAGCCCCCTGAGCAGAAGGGGGCAGGCCATGGTAGCAGATGGAGCATCTGGCCGTGTCGCTGAAGGGGAGAGGGCAGTGACTTGGCGATGGTTCGGATCGCGATGGACATGGAAAAAAACAAGGCCATCCGGTCGACGGGGGCAGGTGATTGGCAGGGCAGCAGCAAGGCCCGCGGAGAGGATGCTTTGGCATGCCTGGAGCCGATACAAAGGAGAGGGAAGCGTGGATCGACGAAACATGGGTGAATCGAGGTCTGGAACGGGACCGGCATATGGCAGAAAGGGAGCTGTTGGCCGTTGCAGCGGGCCCAGCAGCTTCACTGGCGGTGGCAGCAGCATGACGTGTGAGGGTTAGTGGTGGTGGGAGTGGTCATGGTGGGAGTAGTAGCAGTGGTGGTTCTGGTGGTGGTGGTGGTGTTGAGTGAAGGCGTGTGCGAGTGTAGTGTTTCAATGTGCATGACTGAGGATGCCGGGCGTGATATGTAGCGACATTTGGCAAGTAGTAGTGGTATAGGTAGTGTAGGTAATATCGCATGGCGGCGTCGAGGACCCAGCGTAGTCTGATTGCACTCTCATTCTCGTAGCAGGGCGGCCAAAAGGGGGCGCAGATCGGCGCGTGTGTGGGCGGAGGTGGGGCGTGGCCGTGTATGATTGGCGGGCAGGCGACCAGGGCAACAGTGTTTGATTACGAACCAGGAAATCACGTTATGTGCTTGGCGCCGGCTGCGTCACTCCCAGAAATTGCTCGCTCGTCCTGTCCTCTGACCTCATCGCGAACGCCTCACTGTCATCGTCACCACACGCACAATCCCCGTCCGCCCGCCCGAATTTGAGCCTCATCGAGGTTCCAGCATCACGACCAGCACGCGTAAACCACAAGTCCGGAGCGCGGTGCAGTCGCCCAAGCCCAGCACCAAGCCCAGCGCCATTGCTGCTTCGCTACGCCCTGCTGCGACGGCCACCCAGCGTCGCCCCAGGGGCTTGACGTCACTACTGAAATTCGTCTGCCAGAATCTCAACCAGCTCTGCCACCACCTCGCCCGCGTTCCACAGTATCGACTCTGTCCGATTCAGACGGCCCTACCCCGCATTGGCCGCCCGTCCTTTTCCCATTGCTGAGGTACGTAGTTGTGTCGCCCACGTCGCTGTTGTTGTTCTCGCGCCCGACTTTGCCACGTTCCCACCGCCTGCCACTGCCCCGGACCGCACATCATCTCTTCGGTCTGCACCCACGTCTGTCGCGTCGTCGACTTCCCAACCACCAGAGGCGCATGCGCTGACCCCTTTGACCGTGTTGTAGAAAGAGCAACCCAAGCAGTTGTTCGAATCGCCAGCCAGAGCGCGCGTGCGGCCGTTGTAGCTGCCACCGACACGTCGCGTTGACCCGGCAAAGTGCAAATAAGACGAGACCAGAGACGAGGCCTGAAAGCACCACCAGGCGATCGCCCTCGTTATCCCCGCTACGTCACCACCCTAAAGTATGGCAGCTGCATCCCAGACTGCCCGAACCTCGTCCCCGTCCTCCAACATGTCCTCCCCCAAGGATAGCAAAAATAGTCTCACTGTCGTGACAAAGTCTGAAGGTGTGTAGCCCGACTTCCCGCCCCCTTGTCTTCATTTCGTATTACCCAACCTCACCGCCGCCTTGTATCGCATTGCTGCTGCGCCCGTCTACTGTGTTGCGCCCATGCATTGTCGTCACCTTCACCTTTCCCGACGCCCATTGCATCATCGCCGTCTTGTGCAGGCCTTACTAACCGTGGTCCTGTAGCAGAGCCTGTGGCGTCAGAGTCATCTCCCAAAGCACAACGTAAGTAGTCCTGCCATTGATGCCCGCCCCCCTCTTCTCCCCCTTCGAGCTGCTGCTGCTGCTGCGTGCAGTCCCTTGTTGCCATCAACAGAGCATGCTGACCTGCCCCCAGCTGCTACCACGGAAGCAGTCAGCTCTACCGACACAAAGCCCACGACATCCAATGCCCAGCCATTGGCTCCTCCACCAAAACCAGCGCCCGCAACTACTGGTGATACGCCCGATTACTTTAACACGGTACACAACCCCTTCTCACTTGAGCCCAACGTTTTCGAGCAGTCCTTTGGAGGCGATTCTGGAAACCTACAGACTCCTGGAGGCCGGCCTATTCTCCCCCCAGTCGCCAACATTACGTCACCTTCACCCCTTCCTGGTATCACACCTGGGTGGCAGGGCTTGCGTGCCGGTCCCTTGAGCCCTGCTATGCTCAGCGGTCCAACTGGACAAACTGATTACTTTAGCGAGTCATTCCGAGGCTTCCCGACACCAAACGAGTCCTCTCTTCGTACTGGTCTCACACCGGGTGGCGGTGGTTCTATGTTCCCAGCCCCCAGCCCTAACACACAGGCTATTTTCAATCTTCAGAGCGCTGGTGTCACGCCTGGAACTGCCGACTTCCAGCAGTCTGCTTTGCGCGCGGCTGCCCAGCACCAGGCTAACAACAGCAACGCCAACAAGGCAACGTCCAACGCCCCTACGTCCCAGCCCGAAGCCGCACCTGCTGTAATGGATCGCCAAACCAACAACTACCAACAGGCACAACCGCCACAACAGCGCGCTCACAATGAACCTTATCCCAACCATGACGTCAGTAGCGCGGCTAACGACCTCTTGTCTTTTGCTAGTCAGAATGGTGCTGCCCGTAACAACCCGCAGCCCTACTCGATGGCACCCCAGCAGCAGTCCATGAATGCTGGTCATATGCCTGTTCAACCTGTCAACGCCAACCACAGCCGTCGTGACACCAAGGGCTCTATTAACAGCGTTCAATCTGCAGAGACTGGAGATTTCTCAGAGAGCGGCCAGAGTGAGCAAGCCAAGACCGGCACACGGTCACGCGCGAAGAAGGGTGCCGCTAATGGCAAACAAGCTGCCGGTAACAAGCGAAAGGCTGAGGACGGTCCCAAGAACTCGAGAAAGAAGAGCAACGCCAACCAAGGCATGGGTGACGACATGGATGATGGCGACTCTGACGATGAGAACAACAACATCAAGGAGGAGGAGTATGACAGCAAGGGCCGCAAGATGACCGATGAGGAGAAGCGCAAGAACTTCCTCGAGCGTAACAGGTATGTACCATATGTTCTGCTTCCACGTCACGTTACTTACGTGAACCAGGGTTGCTGCCCTCAAGTGTCGACAACGCAAGAAGCAGTGGCTCGCCAACCTTCAAGCCAAGGTTGAGCTTTTTAGCACAGAGAATGACGCCCTCTCTGCTACTGTCACCCAGCTTCGCGAGGAGATTGTCAATCTCAAGACACTTCTCCTTGCTCACAAGGATTGCCCAGTGTCGCAGGCCCAAGGTCTGCACGGCGCTGCCATGAACAACTTCCTTGGAAGTGACATTAACCACCAAAACCCATATGGCATCGCTCAAATGCAGCCAAATGGTGTCCACATGATGCCCATGCAGCAAGGCCAGATGATGAACCGGTTCGTATACCCACCCAACCGAAACACCTCACCCCACCAAGAAGATACCGCTCGTTACCCCTCCAATTACTGAGATTGTCGCTCACCTAGGTTCAGATAATTGGGAGTGAAAACGTTGTCATCATTCTCGCGTGATCCACGCGCTACTGGCAGCCTCGACGATCACTATCCTCCACCTCTTACAACTTTGTAATCTCCGCACCTTCTCCTTTCTCTCCTTCTCTCTCGGACGCATCGACGTCACTCTCAGCAATGCATGCACTGGCGCTTGGCGTTGTGTCATTGTAAACATCCTGTTGACATCCAGGAACTCTACAATTTGGTCGCTCCCCACAATACTACTAGATTGCATTCATTCCTTATCGGGCCGGACACTTGGAACGGCAAAGGAACCCCCGGGGCTGGCCAATTGCTCAACGTGATTACGAAACTTGTCGTCTGCGACGTCGGATGATGACGACTTGTTCTTCGACATTCCCTTTAGTAAACTGTCTATTGGTGGGGTGTATATATGGTTGATGTTTGGGTTCATCATTCTACTGGCGTTGTGCAGGCACTTATACAACGATTCCTTCTCTTATTCACTTGTAGCGCGCCAGTCTAGAGTTGCGCTCGGCGTTTTTTTTGGAGGGCATCTTCGTCGGCGACGACGTTTGGGCTTCGAGCCTTCCTTTCTTTTTCCAGGCGAGTGTGTGTTCTGGAGGAGCTTTTGAACCCGACACGATTGTTTTCTCGAGTCTACGGTTAACAATGGGGTCCATGGCGTAGAGAATTGGGAAAAGGGAAAATATATACCAACCGATTTTGTATAACGGCAATGTTTTTGGTTGGTATTGAGGGGAGGAATGTGCATGTACGTATACGCGCAGACGTCAATGGCAAATGTTTATCTTGATGTGATTTTGTGTGAGAAGGGGTGATGTGGAGTGATGTGATGTGATGTTAGTTGCCAGCGAATGGTTTGGAGTGGTTGCCAGGGTTGAGAGCAATTGTGTAGTATCATATTCCATGTGTCGAGGGGACGAAAAGACATGGGTCACTTTTTTCCGTTAAATATTATCGTGTCTGAAAATTTTAGATAATAGTACCAAATGTATTGCGGATATTCACCCAACCATGGTTCATCCACTTAGACTGTAGCTCGTGCATTTCAGGAAGTTTGTTTCCAATCAGATTACAGACTAAGATCATCATCATCTTGGAGAGTAAATGTAGCTTATTGTTTCAAGTGGGGATTATCTCTATTATACATTTGTTTGCTAACTGGATGGACTATTGGCCATAAGGAACTGCTGGATGCAAGACCTCAATCGAGCTCTTTGACCCAGTCAAGCAATGCTTCGGCACCCTTTTCCCACTCTACATGGTTCTGCAAATGGTGCGCCACTCCCTTCACGATTTCAAACTTCACACCGTTGCACTCTGCACTCTCGTCACTTGCAGTGTCGATAAAATCCTCAGACATGCCGTCCAGTTTTTTTCGTCTCACGCAATCGATGAATGCTGTACGGTAGCGCTTTGCGGCATCTAGCAGGACAGACGGTGTACAGAGAACGTCGAACTCGGCAGCAAGAACGAAAAGTCTCGATACAACACTGGCTTTCTTATCCGCATTTGACTTCGCTGGCTGTTTCGGCTTCCACCCAATGATGGATTGGATGACATCTGGGCCTGTGACGATTGGGAAAAGCGCTTGCATGGGCCAGAGCATAGACTCGTATGGACTGAGCAGGCGCTCCAAAGCCTGTACAACCGGCCAAGGTGTCGACGCCGTAAAGAACGGATCCCGGACTTGCTTGGCGGTTGCAAGTAGATACCTAGAATGGAAGCAACGGTAAACGAAATTCAGCGGTGCTGAACTGGCCCAGAACGCATAGCATGACCACCTATCTTCACGTTAGCATCTCTCCATGCCCCAAAGCATACTCAATGAAAACAAAAAGAAAAGGATAACATACGACCCAAACCCCGGCACAGCAGCAAACATACAAAACCCCTGCACCCTAATCAACCCTTTACCCAACACCCACTGACTCAACGCTCCCCCCGCCGAATGCGCAACCAACACCACCCTCACCCGCTCCTGCCCTCCTCCCCTTTTCTCCCCCTCCATCTCCTCCACCGCCTCAATTCCGCTAACAAGATCCTCCGCCATCCGCCCCCGACTCGTAAAATACAGCGCCCAGAACCCAGGATACCAGCTCCCGCCATGGCCCCGGTAACTCACCGCATAACACGGGTAACCCTGCGCGCTGAAGAATTGCATGTAAGGAATCCACACCGAGGCGCAGCCGAAGCCGCCATGGGCGAAGAAGATCGGGGGTTTGGAAGTTTTTGGGTCAGAGGGGGGTGCGGAGAGGAGTTCTAGGGACCCAGAGGGTGTGCGGATGTAGGTGCGGGTTAGGCCGTTTGGAAGGGGAGTTGGAGAGGGGGGATTCGGGGTTGGAGGACGCCATTGGAGGGTGAAGGGACCGAAGGGCATGGTTATATTCTTCTTTTTTTTGGGGGGGAGTGTGATGATTCGCGATATATATATATATCTGGGTTCTTGCGAATAGACTGGGGGAAGTTTGGCTGGAGACGATGGGGTTAGATGTGGGTTTGTGGAAGATGCTGGGGGTCTAACAGCTTATGGGTAGGTGTGGGTGTGCTGAGAATGTGGATGAAAGCGCTGTGTGAGAGGTTTTGACAGCTTTATACGAGATTCTGTGAAATTTTTCTCAGTAGCACATGTGATACTTCAGCAGATATGCTGGTGTTGGTGAGGAGCCCTTTTGAGCGGTATGACTGCGCGGGGTCTGGCTTGTTCAGCCGCACCTCGTAAGTGGTAAGTAGTGCAAGTCTGGGCGGGCTAAAAATAATGGCAGGGAGATGTAACCGGTGGGTGAAGGTAGCAACGAACTATAGAATGTGTTGCATTGTAGAGTGAGTCATTTTGATGGTGATTCATCGATATCAGAGATTTGTGTGAATTTTGAATGTGACGAAGATGAAGGAAAGAGGGGTTGAGGGTTGCAGGTGTGTGGTGCTGTGCTACGACGAAGGGCTGCTTGTCATTTTTCCTCTCTTCATGTCTAGTTCATGTAAGATAATATGTCATATAGTGACATTATTCTGAAGGCAGTGATGTAGGATTCTGCGAGTTTTTTTTTGAAGATCTGTAGTGGTTGGGGCTATTGTTTGGTGATGGGATATAAATGCAACTGCTGGATTTTTTGTTTTGCACAAAGAGATAGCGTTGGAGTGTGACTTGGTAGAAGTGAAGAAATACTTTTGGTGAATGCAATAGATAATTTTTGGGTATTTATACTAAGAGAAGAAAGGCTGAACTGAATCTCAGGCCTACCATTTCCACACTCATAAATTGTAGTTAATCCCAAGCGCGCACGTTCGAGGCTTCTGAACATGTAGATTCTGTTATTACCGGCGGCCGATTCATGCGGCGTAGTTGGTTAGTGGATGGCTTGAAATGAAGCGAACAAAGGGCCGCACTCATTTTTTATCGCTTTTTCGCACTCTCAAACTGCCGCTGGCGCCTGAAGGGATTTAGCCTGCTTACCGTGTTTTTGACTTTGTTGCACTTCGAGGTTTTGCGTTGGATGTTCGAGATCTTGTGTAGACCGCCTAGAGCTGGCTGGTACATGTCACTATCGATGGATTGTACGCGGCCGTTGTGGTGTGAGAATGATGACTCGGGTGGAGACTCGATGGAAGGATGCGTGGGGGCATCTGCATCTATCTTACCAAGTTGGGAATTGCTAGGACCTTCTATGGGCTGTTCAAGCTGATCCATTTCTAGGTATGAGTCTGGTTCGATTACTGGGAGGTCTTGGTCGATGTCGTATACTTCTACTGGCGGTGGTGGCAGTAGATGATTTTGTCGGAGAAAGTCTTCTGCTATTGGCTGACGGAAATATATATCGTAAGCATCATGGACAATATGTGTTGACTGAGTGTCAACAATCTCGTCATAAAGTGGGTATGGCGGCGACTGGGTCTTAAACTGCATCGTACTAGATATTGGTGTTGTGTTCTGTCTCGATATCGCAACAGCAACAAATTCATTGTGGTCGGGCATACTTAGATGATTCTGGCGCACAGTGGGCATATTTCTAATGGAATGTTCATCGGACTCGGAGGGCGGCTGGGACTGTCTGAACATGTTTGGTGTACGGGACTCAGAGATGTTTCCGGAGCCAATATTAAATACGAATGAAGGTTGTGTGAAGGGGCCGCCTGGAAGGGCAGTCAAAGGAAAGATATCAGAGAAGGTTGATGGAGAGTACCCAAATTGAACATGGCGTACGGACAATGACTGAGTGAGGCGAACATTCTGTGTTGTTGGGCCAGAGTATGGGGGTGAACCAGAAAATTCTGTTACTGAAACCATAGTGAATGGTTATGCGCGACACGTGTGACCAGTTGCGGATTGAAGGAAATTACTCTAGTACAGTGATGAGTTTTATGTAAACTCCCAACTTGGTAATCGAGTGAATTGCGCGGCGATGACATGTGCACGTGGGAGAAAAGAAGACGCATGTAAGGTCAGCGGCTTTAATTAGCGAATAGTCTTCCAGCCCATTAAAGGCATTGTGTGGGTTCATCTTTCACTGCGGACCTCCTTGTTTCACTGAAGAGCTCACAATGTACGTCTTAGCTAGGGACCAACTCCAACTCCGAAACGCATCGATGATACATAAAAGCTTTGATTTGCCAAGAGCTATAGACGACGAGGAGATGGAAACAAGGTAAATGGAGGCGAAGCGAAATAAGGGAAAGTGAAGTCAAATGTCGACCTTGGCTTAGGCCAAACCAAAGAATCTCAGAATTGCTCGTTTTCTCGAGAAATTTGGTTTCCAGTCATCCTAGAGCTCAAAGTCAGTATATGCCACATCATGAACAGGTTTCGTTCGTTTGGCGATTGCAAGTAAACATGGAATGACTATACACAAAGAAATAACAACTCACCTGCATCATTGCTGTGTTGATAGCACTGTTAGCTTGCTTTACATCGGTCACCAAAGCTCCGCCCCAGACTTGGTATGCAGCCCTGTTCCCATCACGGAAGATGTCGTTGTTATAAGTCAGCATGACCTTACCACTTGCCGTGTCAGTGTTTTTGACCTGTTGCCAATCGTCTTTGTAATTGTCGTCCACGTTAGCGTCGTAAAGTTGAATCTTGATGTCGGGCCCTGCTATTGACATAGATTCAGCAACAGCTGAGACAATCATTGCTACTCGAGCCTGGTATTTTGATTTGGTCCCGGCGACAAAGGTTGGTATGAATATGGTTGCCTTGACGATTTCGTTAGTATACTGTGATTACAGTTATTGAATACAAAAGGGAGATGCATACCTTGAGATTCTTCTCTTTAGTTAAGCAGTCTTTGGGGAGTTGAGGAAATCCTAGGAAGGAGGGATTGTCGATATCGTCCTCTACTAGCGGCTTGATGACTGCATTTCGGAACTGCTCTTCCGTTGTCTTTCCCTTCCACCAACTTCCCCAATGCAGAGGATCGTGGAAGTATTCGGACGATTTTGAGAATTATGTAATCTTTTTGAAGAATCTGCGCAGCCACCTCAACGGCAGTGGTCGATACTACGGCCTTACTCTCACACTCACAAGTTGGCTTCTCATCAAATTGAGCAGTTCACGTAACTAATTTACCCTTGGCTAGCATCTTACTGGTAAATGAAAGGCTTCGACATCATCAAGCTGGAGCCATGGGTAGATTGGTTCAATATAATGACTTATAACATCCGTAAGACGGTTTTCATCTCTTGCAATGAATAAATTATGTTGACATCACATCTTCCAGACGGTGTTTGGGACAGTACAGTCAAAAGCATCGCCCCATACGCTTTCGCACACACCAACCTTACCGAAATTCAGCTAGGCCTCGAGCTTCTCTAGAGAAACAACATCAACCCTGCTCGCGTAGTCATGAGTCTAGGTTTCTACGGTCGAAGTAAATCTCCGTTCCTATCACTTGCTATTACCGATGCTAACTCTCACACTTAGCTTTTACGATGAAGGATCCCAACTGCATGAATACAGGCTGTGAATTCACTGAGGGTGCGAAGGGTGGTGAATGCACAGGAATCCCAGGGGTGCTATCAGCCGCTGAGATCAACAAGATCATCGATAATGGCGCAAAGGTTTCGCACGATCTCGAAGCTGCAGCGAAGATCTTCACCTGGGACGGAAATCAGTGGGCAAGCTTTGATGACGTTAAGACGCTGAAGATTAAGCTGGATTATGCAAATCAGCGTTGCTTGGGAGGGTAAGTTGATCTATGAACTTCCTTGCCTAGTCATCAATCCTATTATATTGCTGTGCTAACGTCATTACCCATCGCAGAACCATGGTATGGGCAATCGACTTAGATGATGGTTCCTTTTTGGAAGCTTTGACGCCGGTGAGCACTAAGAAGAAGGAAGAAGTCTTAGCAGAATCAGATTTCGATATGCCGGACTTTGGTAACAACTGGAATTTCGTTCCAAAAGAGGCGAACGGAATGCGACAGAGGGATGAGCTACGAGCTTTGACAACCGAGGAGTGCGGTTTGGGGTATGCTTCATACGTCAATGGATTTGAGAAGCTTGTGAGCTAGTTTTACATCGTATTCTCAAGTAAGCGTAAAGGATTTTGATGAATATGCCTGGAATCTATGGATCTGGAGGGTGTGTAAAGAAAATCTCCTCTATTAAACAGCATTCGTATGATGATAAGCTTGAAAATGTGATCGATCTTATCTAGACCGCATCACCAAAATTTCAGCCTACTAGATAACGAGCTCTCTTTCTTATCTTTCTCCGCAGCTTCAACAGTGTCTTTTGCTAGTTACACCTTGAGTTAGCGAACAAATAATGAGCCCACAACAAGGCATCGGTGCAAAACTCACCATCGAGCTCATCCCTGACCCTCTCTATGGCTTCTAATGCCTTCTCAAAGAACGGCTTGAGCTCTAAATCCTCCTCTGCCCACGTATCCCCATGAATCTCATACTGCTTAAACCAGGCCTCTAAAGAATCAATCGGCGAGGAGCCACCCCTCGAAGGAAGCCTTGGGTCGGCGCCGGCCTCGAGCAGCAATTTAACAACAGGAAGATTTTGTTTGAGCACAGCGCAACCAGAAAAGCCCAAGAGATCGCAGTAGGCGAGAAAAATAATGAAATTAAAGTTTAATTTCTCTCGAATGAAAGAAAATCATGGGGGAGAGAAGACCATATCTACTTAAATCTTGTTGAAGTACAATCAACACAATTTTTGGGTACGTGCAAGATGACATTGTTCATGCCGTCATATCCACAACGAACAAGACCGATTTTGCTTGAAAATCATATTGTTGCTATGCATCTGATATGATTCTATAGCCATATTATGCCAGTCATCGATGAATACCACATGATTCCGACGTTGATGAATAAATATCGATGAGGCAAATACAATTCTACGTAACAGTATACTTAGATCAATTCAGACCTTGGAAGCTTGCCGTCGCAACATGAACACAGCGAAAGAAACTTTCCAAGCAAGACAGTGAGTTCAATCTCTAGATCTCAACATTGCTATCTCTACTTGTGACAACACACGGACGTAAATTCCGCATTGCTGAAAACATATTGATTCGACGCCGAAGGTGATCATATCTATCTCTCAGCCGCCTAAGCTTTAGATCTCCCTACTGCCAGTATTTTGAAGGGAGCCGACTTAAAATATCTATCACGATAATCGTAGATGATGTTGGATTTTATCGTAACATATGAGCACACACACACATACACAAACATGAATCAAGGCGTCTCTGCATATCTCTTTCCGCAGTTGAGAATTTTGTATTGACTAAAAAACAAGACAATCTTTCTACGAGTCGGCCAGTTATCTACATTGATATCTAGTTCCGGGTCAGTGTCCTAACACAGTAATTGGCATTGAAAGTAGAAAGTGGGGTAGGATTGGCACTCTGGAGTCAGGCGACCTTTTCTTCTGCATCGCGACACGAACACAACCACCACCAATCTCATGCAACTCATTTTCAATATCTATTGATGGTGTTGTATATCTGCTCAAGACGCCACATGTGGTCATTCTAGAATCGCATCTCACATCTCTCAACGCCAGTATGGCTTCTCGCTTAGTAGCTTTGTGATGAGGCAGATCGCGTGCACATTGAACAAAGTATAGTACTAGTAACATGAAAAAGCACTTTTCCAATTCCTGAAAGTCGAGAGTTTCACATCTGAAGCTTGTATCCTCCGCCCAGAGCGTTGACTGCACTTGATAAGGAAGGTGTTCGTTCTACGTTGATCAAGAAATACTTGTGGTTAGAATGCCATACATGGTGAATTTCTCGGCTGCTATCAGGTGGCGGGACAAGTTGCACTCTTGCATCTAAACGGCACATGCAATTGGATCTTCTGCGCTTGGCTCAGCACAGCAGCATTTGCCAAGGACGGACACCCGTTATCCAAGACTACTCGGCACCAATCACGCACACAACGTCGCATTCTCGGATTGAAGGATTATTTTGGAGAAACTATCTTGCTCTCTATTTTGATGCTTATCTCTGGGCGTTTGACATGTCCGACTGCTTCTTCGGTGCCCAGAAGCATATCGTTGACGGCTTTGCTAAATGAGGCAGCTCACAAGGCGAAAGAATTGTATCGCAAGGACCTACATAAATAGTATGAACAGGCACCTTGCACAGAGCTCAAGTCCGTTCGCTCAACGCTCGTCACAATGTCGACCGGTGCCAATCTGGAAATTGTGGATGCCGCTCTGGCAGCCACCCCCGCCGTTCAGAATGATGTAAGAGCAAGTGCAAGTTTTGAGAAGAAGGAAGGCTTCGTGGATACTTCTGAGAGTCTTCGCGGCCCTAATGGCGAGGAATATCCTACCGATGAAGAGTGGGCGACACTTCGCCGCGTGTATGGAAAGGTCAGCTGGATGAGTATGTATACTATCTGATTGTGTTTCCATGTCGCTCGAATTAATTTCTAATGCCACGACAGTTTACATCATCGGAGTTGTCGAAATGTGTGAGCGTTTTGCATACTACGGAACAACCGCAGTCTTTGTGAATTTCATTCAGCAGCCACTGCCTACTACTGGACCATTCCCGGAAGCTGGAGCCGCTGGTGATGGTCAGCCCGGAGCATTGGGAATGGGTCAACGTGCCAGCACGGGTCTGACTCAATTCAACACCTTCTTTTCATACATCATGCCTTTGGTCGGTAAGAATTTCCCTCCAAAAATCGCTATATCTATGCTGAGTACGCTGTCTAGGTGGTTGGCTAGCAGATGAGTACTTGGGCAAGTTCAAAACCATTTACGTGGCTATTTGCGTTGCTACACTGGGACACATCTTAATCATCATCGCCGCCATACCTCAAGTCATGGGACCAAACCCAAACGGAGCTCTTGCTTCATTTATTCTGGGTCTGATTCTATTTGGTGCGGGTGTTGGGTTGTTCAAATGCTGTATCTCGCCACTCATTGCGGAGCAATATGAGGCTAGTCACCCGAGAGCGACTATACGCGTCGAGCCGAACGGAGAACGCGTCATTGTCGACCCTGGGATCACCTACTCCAGGATTTATATGCGTTACTACCTTTTGATCAATGTGGGAGCATTGGTTGGTCAAGTCTCTATGGGTGAGTTGATTTTGACAACGGCAATATAGCTGCTAACCTTCCTCTCAGTGTACGCCGAAAAATACGTTGGATTCTGGCTTTCGTTCACACTTCCGACTATTCTCTTTGTGTTCTGCCCACTCTTGATGGTCGTATTCAGCAAGCACTACGTCAAGAAGCCGCCACAGGGTGACGTACTCCTCAAGTCCTTGAGAGTATACGGATTGGTCTTGAAAGGCCGTTTCTCGATAAATCCTATGCGCACATGGAAGAACTTTTCCGACCCAAATATTTGGGACAGCGCAAAGCCAAGTAAAATGGCTAATAAGCCGTCGTGGATGACGTTTGATGATGCGTGGGTTGAAGAGGTCCGACGTGGTATCAAGGCCTGCGAGGTGTTCCTTTGGCTGCCCATCTTTTGGTTGCCTTATAGTCAAATGTCCGTCCTGTGAGCCCTATTTCAGTATATGCAACCCAGACTAACTTTAGTCTTTTCAATATAGGACGAGCAACCTGGTCTCTCAAGCATCGACCATGAAGCTCAACGGGGTACCAAACGACATTGTCCACAACCTGAACCCCTTTACCCTTCTAATTTTCATTCCGATTTTCGACAAGGTCATCTACCCCAAACTCGCCCATTGGGGCATCAAATTCTCGCCCTTGAAGAAAATCCAAGCTGGTTTCGTTTGCGCGCTGCTTTCCATGGTGGTCGCTGCAGTCATCCAACACTTCATCTACGAAAAGTCGCCCTGTGGTAGAAACGCAGGCAGCTGCGATGTGCCCCCGGACCTATCGGTATGGACTCAAGTCCCTGCATACGTCCTCATCGCCTTTTCAGAAATTTTCGCCTCCATTACTGGATTGGAATACGCGTATACTAAGGCACCTAGGAACATGCGTTCATTCGTAACGGGCATGTTCTGGTTCACTCACGCGTTCTCATCCGCCATTGCGCAAGCCTTTGTACCTTTGGCTGATGATCCGCTTCTGGTGTGGCTGTACATGGGTATCGCTATCCTTACGTTTCTTGGTTATATTGGGTTTACGTGGACATTTAGATCGCTAGACAAGGAAGATGAGAGCCTTGATAAGTTGCCCGAAGGTGAGTACCAGTCTAACGCAGAGTTTAATGCGGAGAAGACCGCGAATATGGATAAGGCTTAGCTAGAGGTTCTTGAGCTCTGGTAGTGGGCTTGCGGTGACTGATCGGGTATCGACTTGGTAATTGATTAATTCCACAGGCATTTTTGGCTACACATTACTGGCCAAGTCATATTGTCTTCTACCTAGAGATATCCATTCTTTCTGTGGTTGATGTGTGGCAGCCAAACTTCATGAATGCAAAGTCTTTTCAGTGCCCCACATGCTCTCATTCTGCTTTCTCACAATCATAACCGTTCACACAAGTAAGTAGTGACAATGCGGCTCAAAACAATACCCACTTATATATTCTCGGAAATAAGCTATACCCGCGACTAATTCTATCCTCTTCCACACGTGTTGCCCCTTCCGAGGAAAGCATGCACTCATCGTCATACCAGGGTCCAAGCTTCAACCCACAAGCTCCAAAAAACTATAATTCCAGACCCACAATGCCATCTTGCCATCACCACTTTCTCGATAAGGACCCGTTTTTAAGCGCAAGCACGTACATCTTGTCATGAAGGCGGAGCGGTGGGTAAAGCCTCCAAGGGGGTAGTCTCGGATACGCCACGGAGTTTCGATCTTTTCTCGGGGGACTGAGGGTTGAGTGGAGAATACATAATGGATCTTTTTCCCAAACATTCATAAAAAGACTCCTGTTCTTTTCGTTCCTTGCTTCTTGAAAGTTTTGAGAAGTGCCTTTTTCGCTATGGCATTCTTCCTCCAACGCCGAGCCATCCAGCGCCATGTCAAGCAAGAACTCTCCCGTATAACCGACTTCCCCTACGAATTTTCCACCTATATTCCTCGAATGCCAGAAGAACAAGAAGCGCAGGCATCCGGAGATCTCGAGGCAAAAGGCGAACCGTTCACGCAGATACCGGGTATCACATTGATGCAGGATTGCAATGGGAGGAGGTACTATCAGGTCGATTGGGCTGGCCCTGATGACCCATTTAATCCAAAGAAGTGGTCTACAATTCACCGTGTGGGCGCTACCATGCTTGTTTGCCTCGTTGCGTTTGTGGCGACCATCGCTTCCTCAATCGATTCCGCTGTCTTGACCAGTGCAACTGCTGAGTTTGGGGTCTCGGAGGTGGCGGAATCGCTTGCTACTGCGCTGTTTCTGATTGGAATGGGATTAGGAGCATTGTTGCTTAGTCCGCTTTCTGAACTCCTGGGACGGTATCTCGTTTACCTTGTTTCGCTATTCATTTTTGGATGCTGGATCCTGGGCGCAGCTTTGGCGCCGAACTTTGGTGCTCAACTCGTTTTCCGGTTTCTGGCTGGATTCTCCGCCAGTGCTCCGCTCACGGTAGCTGGCGGGACAGTGGGGGATATGTGGAGTCCAATTGAAAAGACATTTGCTCTCCCATTGTACGCCATTCCCGCATTTGGTGGGCCAGTTTTTGGTAAGTCCTTGATACTCATGTCTAATTCACAGAGCGTGTTTTGAAAAATTTACTAAAGCGATTCATAAACAGGACCCGTCATAGGTGCTTATGTTGGCTATGACCCATCTGTCGATTGGAGATGGGCTGAATGGATAACATTGGTCTTAGTCGGTGCGACAGTCACCCTTATCCTGCTTCTCAAAAAAGAATCCTTCGCTCCGCGAATCCTGCATTATAAAGCAGCCTACTTCCGCAAGCTTACAGGAAATGAACGTTTCATGACAGCAGCAGAAGCATCACATGCCTCGCTGGGCGAGCTCATGTTCAAGAGCTTCTTGCGGCCATTCCTCCTCTCCACGCAACCGATCGTTGTAGCATTCACATTATACTTGACGATCGTGTATATAATCTTGTTCACTTTCCTGGATGGGTACGTATCATCTAAGGCTTTAGTTAGGAGTCTTGAGCAGTGCTAACTCTCTCATAGTTACCCCTTCATCTTCGCAGAAACCTACGGAATCAACGAAGGTCTCTCCAACATCTGCTTCATGGGCCTCTTCATCGGAATCATGCTCTCAGCAATCCTTGTCCCACTCGCCTACCGCAGGACCCTCCATCAACTCAAAAGCGACGGAGACGACGGATCCGGAAAACTGATCCACCGGGAATCGAGGTTATTCTTCGCCATGGTGGGTGCACCCGCACTACCCATTGGCCTTTTCTGGATGGGCTGGACCGACTACGTGAGTACTACCGCTTCGCACACCTGATAGCTTTTCTAACCTACAAATTAGAATTCCATCTCAATATGGTCGCCCCTCGCGGCATCAGTCCTCGTTGGATTCAGCAACATTTGCATCTTCATGTCTGCTTACATGTACATCATTGATAGCTACGAGGCGTACGCTGCCTCGGCGCTTACCTTTAATGCGCTCACCAGGTACATTGCAGCGGGCGGTATGACTGTGGTCGGTATACCTATGTATAGGAACCTAGGAACACACTGGACGTTGACGTTGCTGGGGTGTCTTGGGGTACTCACTGTCTCTATTCCGTATGTGCTTTACCGGTATGGACCGAGCTTGAGGCGGCGTAGTCAATGGGCTGTTTAAGAAAGCGTATCGAGAAATTCTACCATCTTTCTCTTTTGGAAGCTCAATAATTGAAGATGTTATTAGCAATTGTAAATGGGTGTTTGAACTGCACGGACAAAGAACAACACCGCCCGCACTGACGATATGGTTATCACATTTGCACAACTCAAGCACATACGATCATAGGAAACTGGATCACTGAAACTCGTTCGCTCTTCTCTAGTTAAGCAGTTTACCGGCGAGTTAGTAGTCAGGTGGGTGACCACTGGCGAATCCCCGCTGTCATATGTTTTTGTCGGTTGTTTTTGGTCTCTGAAGAGGCGCCCACAAGGAACTCGTACTAATCTCCATCTTTTTGATCTTGCAAGCAAATGCTCAGATGTATTTTGGGTGTTAGAAATGGGTTGTAGAGACTAATGATCCGTTCATTTCATTGATTCGGGTATCCATAATGGCAATGCCTACCTCTTTTGATCCACTGCAACGCGCCCTGATACGGCTAATCCAATTGCGCTACAATAAAACTCCAGACGCCCTTGGTTCTTCTATTACAGAAAATACTCAGCGGCCGCATTGTGAGATCTGCGCACAACGTCGTTTGCGAGTAGACCACCCATCAAGCCCAAGTCCCTGATTTTTGCCTTCTCCACGGCAGCGTCCATTTCTTGCCTGTCCTAGAGGAAGTAGTCGGCAACGGGCTTCTTCGCCGGCATACCTCTCGAGTCTTGGGGTGCGGCTTCAAAAACGCGGTATCTTCGTCCTGGGCCATCTCTGTTCTTCTGGAAGTTGTCGTTGAGCATGTTACTCAAGCGCCTCTCGCCATTGGGCCCAGCGTTGGAGCCGAGAACCCAGCCTCCGCCACCTCCACCTCTGTCTCCGTTTGATCTCCTCTGATAGCCAGCGTTGGAACCGTCCTCGCCTAGCTCAAGGATGGCGGCTACATTACCACAGCGGTAGCAGTAGTTGGGCGCTGACCAAACTGTTACAATGGTTGAGTCAAACATCTCCTTGAATCCCTCCATAACGAGTTGGTGGGCTCTAGCGATAAGACTAAGGTCGTTCTTGTGGTTAAAAGTCTTGACAATGTCTGCGCCAAACAAGAAACCTGCACCACGCGGTGATAGACCCCAACCATCTATCTCATCTGGATCAGACCAAAGGAGGTCGCACATGGCCCCCTCGTGGGGCACTTCCTGTTTTCTGTCGAGTAGTCGGATCTTATCGACTGAATCCACTAGGGGTGACAGACCGCCGTGTACACAGAGGATAGCGCCTGTGTCGTTGCGCGCCGAACCATTGGCTGAGGACGTTGCGCCTGTGCCTGCAGGGCCAACGCGTCCAGGAGTTTGAGAGACGGGCGACGACGAACCCAGGTTCCCGCTCATTTGCGACGCGGCGCTCGAGTGGGAGTCTGAGTTGCGAGCGTAGCGGTACATGACCTCGCCGCTTGCGTTCAAAGTCTCAATCTCAATATCCTGGTCAATATCGGGCATATTTTCCGCGTTGCTGGACTCTGCTATGGGTCCATCAGTGGCTTGGAGGGACGTCGCAGCGCCTTGGACAAGAGCTCCAAGAGCAAGGTAGTCGAAGACTTCACAACAGTATCTGTTACATGTCAACTGCCATGCTAGCAAAATTTCAGTTTGGCGCCGTACCTCCAGACGTTTGCGCTTCCATATTTCCGCAGGCACTCATCATAGAAACCATACACTGTTGTTATTTGTCTTGATTCGTGGTTGCCTCTGATGAGCGTTATTCGGTCTGGATATCGGACTTTGAGGCATAGAAGCAGGAGGAAGGATTCGAGGGAGTAAAAGCCGCGGTCGACAAAGTCACCTAGAAGTTGGTCAGTTAAGGCATTGTTGGTGCCATAGATAGCGCCCGTCCGTACCCATGAAGAGATAGTTTGTGTCTGGGACGTCTCCACCAACACGGAATAACTCCATGAGATCATGAAACTGTCCGTGAATATCACCGCATATCTGTTGACATGATAAAGTTAGCTGTGCCGGCGGAAGATATCGACAAGTTGCCTACCGTTACTGGCGCATCGACTGCCACTACGTTGCCCTCTTCAATAAGCAACTCACGTGCTTTGTAGCATAGCTCTCGAACTTGGTTCTCAGGGATAGGACGGCATGCGCGAAGTTGCTGAATAGCTCTGTAATCGCTGTCAGTACAGTAATTTGCGTACACATGCCGAGGCTCAGTGGGTGGTCGTACTTGTCGAGGTCGCTACCGCCCGCACTCATGGTGACGGTTCTGCGCTACGAGCGCACGCAGGGATATCTTGAGAAGCGAATGTAGGGATATTGGGGCAACGGGCGCAACGTGTGGGTGTTTGCAAAGCTATATATCTCGAAGAATTCGGTGGGGGCGGGTGCTATCGCTGGTGGCGGAACGCGTGCAACGCGCGATTATCGTGCAGCCAAGAGGATCTGTTGGTGCTAGAGATACTCGTGTAGGCTTCTTTGTGTAATAATGGTACTCGTATGTCGATTTGAAGCTGTTTAGTAGCTGTGTAGGCGCATAATGGTGGGCTGGTGGTATCGTGTATAAGATCCACAGCGGGTGTCCCGACATGCAGGGATCAGCGTTGAGCCGTGCAGCTAGTAGCTCGTCCTTGGACCTTCCCTCCACCAAAAGGCATTCATCACTAGCAACCCCGCGCCCACCACTCCCCCGACGTCTACGCTTGCTCGAGGCACTTCAATTGGCCTCGTGTCATCTCTCTCGCTGCTTGTCAATCATTGCGACGCTGTTGACAGCCCACCAAGCCCCTCAATGCCTCTGCAATCCGCTCTCTAATTTGCACACCACCCACCAAATATGCCTCCTCACCTTCACCCACGGTCACGCATGACGACTTCGCTCTTTACATCGACTCTGATGATTTCATTCCTCGTCGTCGCTGCGCCACACATCTTGCCATGTCCCGTTGATCCGCGCACACTTGCCGACTCAGCAGACCCCACAGGAGAAAATAGAAGACGGCGGAGACGGAGAATATCCGATGGCGAGATCAATGAAGACAATTTGAGCGAAGAAAGGAGGAGGAGGCAGCTGGTTGAGGAGAAGCTGGCAGCCAAGCGCGAATGTCCTGTCCCTAAGCCTGGCGGGTTGATTGGCCAGGTCTTGGGCGTCCACGAGGAAGACCAGAAAGAACAGCAGCCGTCCATTGTTCAGAGGGTAGAGAAGGCGATATGCAGGCCATGGGGGAAGACTGGAGATCAATAACGGGACTGGAGAGGAAAAGCAATACACCGGATTGGGCATGTGTCAGTGCGCTAATAGAGTGGAGTGTGAAGGAAATGGTGAACTTCACATACTTCACTCAATGACCAACTATATCACTGCAAGTTATATGCAGAAACGACGAAATCATAAAAAACAGTTGCATTACAATGTACATAAGAGGATATTAGACCCTATCTACGTATCAACCCAACGCAGATTCGCGTACGGAGACTACTTGACTAGTATGCATGATTCTTGGAATAGCATGTCAATCACTGGATGTACGTTCAACGGCACCGATTGCACCAAGATTGAGGCCCAGCCCACAGACACCACATGGCAGTGCGTGACAAAGGAAACATGACGGCGCGTCGCATAGCGTGAACGCACTACGTCATCAGAGACAGACGACACCACCTCACCAACAACCATTTCAACCCTCCCATGGCCGTCTACATGTCCCCCAAAAGACTAGAACCCCCGCCAAATATATACCCAAAATGCCCACCGAACCACTCACCAAAGCTCAACGCATGACCTACCGCATCGGCCGCGGCGAAACCGGCGTCCTAACCTTCGAGCCCTACAAATCCTCCATCCTGCCCCTCTGGCGCTTCAAAACCCCTTCCATCGCGCGCCAATCCTCATCCGCAATCTACACCAAGTTTCTACACTACAACGATGAAAACGACTTCATCGGCATGGACATGGCGCGCAAGTTCCTGCAGATGGGTATGGCGCGTGCGAAGAGGTATGCGAATCATGCTGGGGGTAGAAAGTATGATAAGAAGACGGGACGGGAGCTGGAGAAGAGTACAGGACATGTGGGCATGAAGGAGAAGTTGGAGGCGAGTGAGGTGTTTAGGAGTGTATGGGAGAGGGCGAAGGCGCATGAGGGGTATCAGGTGAAGAAGGAGGCGTTTTTGAAGGAACAGAAGGAATGGGATAGGGAGAGGAAGAGGGAGGTGAGGGACTGAGAGGTTGGTTTCGGTGATATATGTACTTGTTAGATTATGTTGTGTTTATGGGACGATGGGTTGGCGCTGGATGGCATAGCTGGTGAGCTACCGTTTTTGTATACCCTAAATTTGCTAGAGATTTGACATGCTGTTAGTATATAGTAGTATGCTTGTCAGGATGTTGTTTATAACTTTATTCTTGTAATCTGGGGCGTGAGACATCTTGGATAATGTCTCTCTTGCCTACACTATATGGAGCGTAAAGTGAGTGGAAAGAGCACAACAACGCGTAGTAATCATCATCGCACCAAAGTAACCCAAACACGATAGAGAAGCTACAGTCTCGTTTCCTCTCACTCTCAACAACGCGGTAAAAAAGACTTGACGCGTACATAACCACTACACCCGCGTAAAGAAATTCCAGTGAGAAATTAACCACCAACACAATCAATCTACATGATATTGGACTCAAAGCGAAGACCTCAAGAACATCGCTCAAATCAAGCAAACGTCTGCCCAGAGCTCCTATACAACCATATAGATTCAAGCTCAAGCAGCCCAAAGCCCATTGCAACAACAATGCACCGCCGTCCCATAGCTACCCAGCACCAGCACTGGCATCATCATTCAATCCCAAACACATCAATACGAGAAAGTCCTTCATGTTTACTATATGTCCCTGTTCAGTCCCCATACCCATTGAGAAACCAACCCCTTTCACCACCACCACCACCACCACCACCACCATCTCCCATCTCCCATCCCCTCACACTATACACAACAACACATATTTCCCTGTCTCACGATATACGACAAATCAAGAAGACAAACCAGTCAGACATCAAGAAACAGACGAAAGACAGAAAAAAAAGGGGGAGAGGGAGGGGGGGGAATGTCCATGCACGCATTCCACACAATGACAAATTAAAAATCACGTCCTTGAATATCACTTGTTATTAAGGTTAATATCATCCGGCTTAGTATAGCTCGTAATTATTATTGTATTATAACAGTAAGTCACAATAGGAGAAGATGAAGGATTAATTTTTTTTTTAAAAAAGAGAAAAAAAAAGTGGTTCCTAGGCGAGATGAGAGGGTATAGCAATGAGATGAACGGTGACAAGAGAAAAAGAAAAGAAAGAGGGAGGGAGATAAGAAAGAGTAATATTGTCGCTTGGGGAAATTTCCGATTACGGTAATGTGAGATGTGGTGGTGGGGGCGGTGGACCTATATGTGGATGATATTGGAAATTTCATTCTTGATTGGTGGGTAGGTGTGCCGAGGAGCAGGAAAAACAAAAGATTGCTTCATTTGTATACACAGATAAGGTTTTTTGATCAGATGGTTCGATATACTTGCTTGCAATGTGAATTCCTAAAAGGGGTCATGGAGAATGATCACGTCAAGGCGGGTGATAAAGTAGTGTTAGTGCATATAGTAACTTGAATCCCTGAACCCTTTTTGATCACCTCCCTCCCTTCCCCTCCCTTCCCTTCGCTTCCACCCTTCCCATGACTTGCAGTCTGTGCCAAAAAAGACACCAAATGAGGTGATTAAGCTCCGACCCTTGTCTTCCCACCCATCGCCCATGTCACTGGGAAATGAACAGCTTGTGGGCGGCGATCGCATTAGAACATCCCCGTGTCCATCCTTGTACGCTTCTTTTTCTTTCCCCTTTAGCCAAGGAAAAGTGGGCCCTGGGAATATTTTGTGGGGCTCTATGTGAAACACATTTTTTCCTTAATTGGCCGAATGACGTAAATAATCTTGAAAGTAGGTCAGCAACCAAAGGGAAAATCATGTTTCTGTGCTGCCGTATATGATGATATCATCCGTCTGTCAGGCCACGCAATGCAATTAACCTAGCAAGTGCTGCACCTGAGAGGGAACGACCTCGCAACAAGCCAAGGAAGCCCTGAAAAATATCGCGGGAAGAAGGCGTCCAGGAAATTGCGTTTCTGCCATTGGGCCCTGATGCAGCGCAAACCGAGAACATGTGGGGTAGCATCATTATTGGTAGAGCGGGAGAGCACGCCAAAAAAGGGGTAAGTGAATAGGCACCGTGCACCAAAGACGCAAGTTGCTATTCCTCCGATCATAGCCGCAACGAAATCTCCGCACTATAGAGACAGCATCCTTGGAGCCGTCAAAGTGTTAGCATAAAGTGGCCTTACAAGCCGCTGAGCCGAAGGCGTGTGCGTCAGAAGTGGTTGCAAGGCTACAAGACATGGTGCCAATCGTCAACAACTTTACCGTATGGAGTAATCCCATGTGTTCCGATATGTTTCATGATTTGTACGTCCTATTCGCGTGTGTCTTGATCGGCTGACAAACCAGTCGCCAATCGAGGTGGTCATGCTGGGTGGGTGCATTCATGGGCTGAGAAGACTGCTCGTGGAGGTATCCACTCTATCTGTTTAGTGAGAGCAGTATTAGTGCAATAATCTCAAAGCTGATAATGGCAAGAAGACGGGGGGCATTGATGATACGATGGATTCTTTCGCATGTTGGCCATGTGAGTGCTCCATCAAGCCTTGAATTGTAGTGCGAAAAGCGTGGTCGAGTGGTCTTTTCGCAGGTACGTCGTGTCTTTCCAAGCTCGTCCAGTGGCTAGTTGATCTGCAATCTATGGCTGCTCCTTGAGCTTCTCTTCAATCTCTTCCAGATCCTCGGCACTATCAATTTCAATGATGCGGCCAACTTCACTTGTGTTCCGCATGAGCTCCTTTGCACCCGCGTACAACATCTTGACCTCGCTGTTGCACGTTATGGGGAGGTAGTAGAGCATGACATACGGCACGGACAATCGTCCAGAGTTCTGTCTGTCTCAGCGGTTTATTTTAGTAAGTCATGTCGATGGTAGGCATACGAGTGTCAACGGGTAGCTCAGGAGCACGAATCGGGGAGCATGGTCGGGAAGCTCGTCTGCGAGGGACTGGACGTCTGAGTAGACCTCGCCATCTACTGGTCGTATCTCGAGCGTCTTCTTATCGATCTCGTCTGGCGCGCAGAGGCGTCAGCGCCATTGTATGGTATAACAAGCCCGTGTGGCGGCCTCGGTAGTAGTGCTCTGCGGCAAGGCACTTGTAGTAGACATGATGGAAAGGTCACTTGAGCATACAGATGACAGCTTGTGGGTCTTTGGCTCGACTTGTGCCGAGTCGGAATTTTCGTAGCTTGGTCTTGGTCTCGTCTGAGAAGGTGTAGAGTCGTGCTTCCGAAGACTAGACGAAGGATTAGTACTGTCTAGCTTGGCAACATGTATAATGGCAAGAGCACTCACCATGATGTTGCACGATAAGCGGGAAAAAATGCTAGAGTTTGGTAATGTTTGTAGGTGGTGTGAGACTGATGGTGGTAGCCCTTGTTGGTGGGGTAGGGCGGGGGGCAATCGGAGAACGGCGCTAGTCGGGTAGCTCCATGTATCCATCATATCCATCATGCACCTTGTCCTTTGCTCGAGTTCTTCCTTCTCATGCACTTCGCTGTTTAGACTTTGCTGCACCTAGACTTGTTGGTTGATTCATGTTTGGACGACTCAATCAGGTTGCTAGACAACTGTCTCGCCCATTGCCTAACTTTGCGCACCGGCCTGCGGCTTCTTTTGGCCAATCGATAACGTCATCAGTCATGGCTGCACCACAGCAAAAGAGTCTAATCCACACGGCAGGATGCCTGATCATAGGGGATGAAGTGCTAGGAGGAAAGGTTTGTAGAGAGGGAGAAATTCATGGTTCACAGCAGCTGACGTGAAACTTAGACTGTCGATACAAACTCGGTATACTAGGGCAGATCGACGCGGTGACATTGCGGCTAATGTTGTTCAGGCATATTTTGCAAAATGGTGTTTCTCGCTGGGCATCAATCTGCGCAGAGTCGAGGTGATTGCGGATGACGAGGGCGAGATTGTTGAGGCAGTCCAACGCATGTCGAAGAACTATGATATGGTGGTGACAAGTGGTGGCATTGGACCCACGTGAGTTGAAAGCGCCTTCGCTACACCATACAGCCACTGGGCTAATGAGGGACCAGTCACGACGATATCACCTACCAATCGATAGCGAAGGCGTTTGGCTTGCAGTTGAAGCTGCACGAACCGGCGTTTGAGCGGATGAAGCGTCTTTCGAAGCCGCACAAGTCACAGCCTGGCTTTGACTGGAATGTGGATTCTCCTGCGCTGACGGCTAAGAAGCGCATGGTTGAGCTGCCGATTGACGAGTCGTTGGCGGACGAAGACCAAGTAGTCTTTATCGATGATTCGCTGTGGGTGCCGGTTAGCGTGGTTAATGGCAATGTCCACATCCTGCCTGGTGTGCCACGACTTTTTGAAGCCATGTTGGACGGACTGAAGCCCCACATCCTGCCGCGTCTGACGGACCCGGAGGGCAAAGGGGTATTGCGCATTTTGATTTCGACGCCACTGGCTGAAAGCGCCGTTGCGGGATACCTGACAGAACTTGCAGCGAGGGCGGAGCCAAGGGGGGTCAAGGTTGGCAGTTATCCAAGATGGGGCAAGGATCGCAATACAGTGACGCTGGTTGGTCGGGACCGTGAGTTTATGGAGAGCCTGGTGCCTGAGGTGGAAAAGGCAGTGGAGGGGAGGCGGGTCAGTGTAGAGGGCGAGGACGACGGCGAGATGTCGGACAAGGATTCGTAGACAGTGATGTGGTACATGGTAGTCAATGTAGTCAATGTGTATGTAAGTACATAGTATGTAGATAGTATGCATATGTATATTTATATATAGCACAACCGAGGGATGGACTGATGCAGGGACGTGTGGAGGAATGTCAAGTAGTAGTAGTAGTGGTGGTGGTAGGAAGCAGCTGGCAGCTAGGCACCTTCTCGAAGACAGATGGAAGCCGTACCTCCACACACGGGCAGCAGACCCTGGCACTGGCACATGGGAAGGGGGGGGGCGGGGTGATAAGGGAGTGATAGAAGGGGGCAAGGGGGATGGCATTACCATGACGAGAAGTGCAGCGTGTATGGAGAATGTTACATGTGTAGTAAAGGATGTGTGTGTGGTGGGCGGGGCTCACGTGGGCAGCTTGTTTTGGGCGTGGGTAGTGCTGACTGCCGAGTGGTTGGTTCCTGGCACCCCCGCTCTGCCGCTCTAAGTACTGTGGTACTCGCCGCGAGGTGCATGGTCGCGCCCGTGGCTATGGGTGCAGAGATGGGGTTACCGGGTGGACATGGACGGAGGCATGTGTGGATAGATGGTGGATGTACACAGCCGTGGGTGAGCAAGTGCAGGCGTGCCAGAGCAACGCTGTCGATATCGTTTGCGGCAGCGTTTGCTATTTTCCCTATCTTGCCGAACCCCCCCCTGGTGCACAGTAGTGGTTCGCGCGAGGACATTATGGACCCCGTGCCGTATGGTTTTGGGCGCTGGGATCGCATGGAAGCATCGGAGGCAGCCCGTCGATGTGGCACCTGTATCTCCACGACGCGCCGCTTTTGGCCTCTTTTGCTTGGCTTGCTTTTGGGGCGGCATGGGCGCGATGGCGGTAGTGCACAGTGAGTGGTGAGGAGGCACGGTCAGGGAGTGGTGTGCTACTGGCGGGTGTAGCTATGTGTGTATATGTGCGTGTGTTCACACCTGTGTGCATGTTCTACGACAGCCGGGCCACGGACAGGACAGGACAGGACAAGGGCTGCTGCATGCAGACGCCGGGCCTACTCGCCTTGCAGCCGGCGCATAAGTAAGGTGGTAGAGGCTTGTGGGGATGGGCGACGGGCCCTGTTCATGGGGGGCGTCGGCGGCGGCGGCGGCGTCATGGAGCTGGTGGTGGCTCTGTGTGGCTCTGGGAGGAGGAGATGGTGGTGTGGGCGCGGGCACAGGGCAGCAGCGCTAACGGGCGCGCCAGTCAGAGGCCTTGTGCATGTCCTGTCCTGTCTGCCAAAGCCGCTCCCTTGCTCAAGCCGCCCCAGACGGACCTAGTGCAAGTGTGCTGCTCAAGCTGCTCAAGCTGCTGCTGCTGGTGCGCTGCTCCGCTCTGCTGCTGCTCTGCTGCTGCTGTTGTTGTTGTTGCTGCCGCTGCTACTATTGCTGCTACTACTACCGCTACCGCTACCGCTACCGCTGCTACGCTGCCTCTGCCCTACCCTGCCCTGCCCTACCCAACCCTGTCCTGCCCAGCCCGCTTCTGCCCAGCTCCGCTCTGTTCTCCTGTGCCTTCTCTGTCGCGACTCCTCCTCTTCCTTCGCTTGCCACCGCCAACCCCCCGGACCACTCCCTCCCTCCCTCCACTCCCTCCCTCCTCTCCCAACCACCACGTCCACCGCGCGTCGTATCGCCACACGCCTGCGTGCCCCTCTCTTCTCGCTTGCATCTCGAGAGCACGTCGTTCCTTGTTTCCGCCTCATCCACCCTGGCCCCGTTATTCGTCTCTGAGCTCGGCCTCGTACTTGCTAAAATCTAATATACCCATTGCCCGACGTCCTCAGCATCGTCCGGCATCTCTTCTTCTTTCTTCACAATGGCATCCAAGGTCCGTCGCCCCCTCGCTCCCTCTTTTGCATTCGCGCATCCGCTAACCTGCTCCAGTTTCTTCGAGAATACAAGCTGGTCGTGGTCGGTGGCGGTGGTGTTGGAAAGTCGTGTTTGACCATCCAGCTGATCCAGAGCCACTTCGTTGACGAGTACGATCCAACCATTGAGGGTGAGTGATCATTCCTGTGCGCCGCCTCCCAAGCCCGACACACACTAACTTGGCCAGACTCGTACCGCAAGCAGTGCGTCATTGACGATGAGGTTGCGCTGCTCGATGTGCTCGACACAGCTGGACAGGAGGAGTACTCGGCCATGCGCGAGCAGTACATGCGCACAGGAGAGGGCTTCCTGCTCGTCTACTCGATAACCGACAGGCAAAGCTTCGAGGAGATCATGACATTCCAGCAGCAAATCCTCAGGGTCAAGGACAAGGACTACTTCCCCATGATTGTCGTCGGTAACAAGTGCGATCTCGATGGCGAGAGGCAAGTGTCGACACAAGGTACGTGCCACCAGTCTCTCTCTCCTCAATATCGTTCCCCCTTTAGCTAACCCGCGTGTTTGTTCAGAGGGCCAAACTCTGGCGCGAAACTTTGGCTGCAAATTCATCGAGACATCAGCCAAGTCCCGCATCAACGTCGACAACGCCTTCTACGACATTGTACGAGAAATCCGCAGATACAATAAGGAAATGTCATCATACACGGGCGCCCCTGGCTCAAACGGCGCCGGCCCCCAGAAGACAACGTTCGAGACGGATGAGCAGGCCGAGAAGAAGGGCTGCTGTTGCGCAGTAATGTAAGGCACTTGGAGTCGATTGTCATTGTTGTCGGGTTAGGCTGTGGAGAGATTACCTACACCGCTCGGTTCCGTCGCCCCCGCCCTGGCCATTGGCGGTGCTGCTTGGTCCAGCAGAAGAAAATACGCGAAGCCCAACTATTACGTACTGCCTGTCCGCCGCCGCCCTGGTGGTACTGCCCTTCGATTGCCTCTCTTTTTGGACATTGTCATTTTTTGGGTTCGCATTACCGACTTTAACGGATTCACGTCTACTGGACGCGCCTCTGAACACCCTCCTCCCTTCTACTACCCACTGGTATCGACCGCTTTTTTCTTTCTTCTTCTCTTCTCTCTCACACATCTTCTTCAACCTTTTGCTAAATGGCGGCGCTCTTGGCATCTGCCTTGAATTTATTTAGACCGACTGTGTTATGGCATTTTGATCGGTACCGTGTATTTCCTATTGCGGGGGGGAGGTGGCCATGTGAGGTACGATGAGGCATGCTTCTGGGAGTCAAAAGATTTGTGCTGTTCCCTTTGACAGACTTTTAGAGTTGTTTAACTTTTTGTTTTTACCTAACTTCTATGAACATAATTCATCTCTACCATGATGCCACGGACCTGTTGCTGTTGATGTTGGGTTATTGAGCGTAGGCCCCCTGGAGCCTCGACGAGTAGGCCTGTCGTGATAGCAAAGATCATCACGCCCTAGGGCCCTATTCACACTGTGCTGCGAGTCGTGAGTGGAGGCGCGTCGCGTGATTGGCCCTGTATCCTGGCATGTATTGCGCTATTCATGCACGGCCGTTTCAAGACCAACTTGCGAGCAAAAAGAGGGGAAGTTGATCAGGAGAATGGCAGCTGAGATTGACAAGACACTGTCAAGTGGCATAGCGCCTATGGACTACTACCCGCCTTTGGACACTTTTTCTCCGCCTACCCTAACTACCACTTGTCGCTGATCCGGGTTTCAAACGTTAAGCCATGGGGATAAGAATGGGGGGAAGACGCAGACGCGAGTTTGCCGGGGCGAGCCCGATGCGCCGTTCTTGCCGTCCGGTAACACGTGCGCAGTTTGTCAATGCAGATAACTACACGCTTGCACAACCAGGAGTAACCATCCACGCATCCGAGTGTCTTTTGTATACACCACATGTTCTGATGGGAATTTATTTGTTCTTATTTTTTTGTTACTTTTTATGCTTACCAAATTCCATTAGCTACATCCAATTGCAATCAAGCCACCAGTCCCGACAATCCGGCCGTCTACCAACTACACATGCAGTGCTTGTAGATTAGCCTATTCCGGCCATGTGCAATACTAGAGGTGAAAATCCTACTCCTGCTCGCTTCCACAGCCGATAGAGGACGCGGGATGCTTCGGTTGGCAAGATGTGTATACCTCGTGCATGCTTGGCTTGCATTTTGCGTCCACCCGCTTACACATGTAAGTATGTGTGGAGAGTACTCTAAAAAGTAAGTGACTAGAGCACTACTCTTACAGCCTTGACAGCAAGCCTCCCGGCTGCCGCTGCTGCATGTATGCACGTTTCTTTGGTGGGTCACATATCTACTCCAGTGGACGCCTTTTGCCTCCTTATTTCCTCTTTGCCCATCCCTGCATTGGCCCTTATCTTCCATATCCCAGCAGCCTGTCCCCCATCCCGCCTCATGCACGTGTGGTGCCTGGACTGAGCACGCTGCACCCTCTTTTTTCCTCACCGATATTTAAACCGATGGATTGGCACGTGGAAATCCAGATTGTTGACGATAGAGGAAGTCTCCAATCCGAATGGCGACCGCCCTCCTTCCTTATTCCTATGTGCCCAGCCTCACGGGCATCGGGTTTGCCAAAGACCCATATGTATAACATGCGTATTAATTCTTCCGAGTATGGATGTTTATGGCACGGGAATGCAAGACGAGAAGGATTCTCCCTGGTTGGTGTAGTTGAGCAGATAGCCGGCATATCAAATTACTCCTCAAGACACATGGAATTCGTCAAGGATATTCAGGGTCACGTGATGTCAATATTCGAGCGAGGCTTCACGTGCTTCAAGCCTCTAATAGCTAGCAGCCAATCATACGTAGCCTTTAACTCGTCCGTGTCTAGAAGTCTAGTCTAGTACTACTGCAACTACTTACCATAATCTCGTCAGCCAAACCCTGTTCCAGACTCTACAAGCCAAGCTATCTCCCCCCTTTCTTTCTTCATTCCGATTATACTCGGCTCTTCTCGTCAAATGCATTTAAAGCGGACCAGTCGCCGGGCCATGTCACATATAGTAGCATGTCGCTAAGTAATTACACATGTCGGGCGGCCCCTCCGCATCTAACATTCCGTCTGACAACGGAACCTTCCGCACACTCCAAACATCATGCCTGTCTCCATGGACTACATCTCTAATCTAGGAACATATTTTTTCTTTCCATTTGTAAGTTTCAGTACGGGCTTGATCCTTGCTTACATTTGAAACTACACACCTATTGTCCAAGCCGGACTATAACATCTACTACCCGTCCAGTTTCACTCTATGCTGCAAGGCCTCCGAACCCGCCACCTTCACATGCAACCCGCTCCATAGAGTCACGTTGCGCTGTTGTACACATACACATGTGCAACGTGAGATATATTAAAAAAATCTGCAATACGAACACGAGCTTTTACATACCGCGGAAGCATGCAAAAGAAAAGAAAATTATGTGTACTACAAGGCGATGACACGCGCGCTTGGCGCATAAACCTCATTATCAAATCATATTCTTACTAGACAGAAAGTGCAGAAAACATTGAAAGAAAAATTTAAGACGAACGTACATGGTACGACACGCTGCGCGGAATCGGGGAAGAGAAGTTGAGAGAAAAATTCGGGAACGAAGTTGGCCACTTATGCACGAAGATCGGCGGTTCCGCGGGTAATCTTGCATATGTACATGTACTTACTGTACTCTATACTCATAGTTTGGGACCGCCCCCTTCCCCCCTTGATGTCAGCTTTGCATTCGCGCTGCCTGCAAGGGGTTCGGGGGCTCCAAGTGAACTAGTTTATTTTTCGGGTTGCGGACTAAGATGTGTGAGCATCTGGATCCGCGTCGATGGAACCGAAACAAGCGACTTGATGTGGAACGATTAGCCCACTCAGCAAGAAGAGAGAAAAAGATGAACGTTGTAGATGAAAACAGCAAACATGCTGTCTTTTTTTTTTTTGAATTTCACACGCATGGTCTTGAATGGATTTAACACAATACTACAAGCCTTGCTACTTGCATCTCGGAAAAGCAAAATAAGCAAGTTCGTTTACCGTACCCGTACCTAGACCCCAAACTACCACCTCAGCCGCACCTCCAACAGCCTCACCATCCCCCTAGCCAATCGCAAACCTTCTCCCCAATCTCTTCACAAGCTATACACCCGCTAATGTCCAACCCACGTCCCTTGCATCTCCCACTTCCATCGCAGCCATAGGCATAGTTAATTCCCACTACATATTTCCCCTTGCACAATCCATCGCTAAGTACATAATACTCCACCAACCCCACGCACCGTCACCATGCGCCAAAAATGACATAACCGCCACCCCAATCGCTCGATTAGCGAGAAGATCGAAAGAAAAAAAACGCCCCCAGCAACGTTACATACATTGTATTAAGCGGGGAAGGGGGGGGTTTTTTTGCACTTTTCTTGGCAGGAGAAAGCGCCGCGGGGAAGGTGGGTGAGCAATCGACGATGGACTGGTTTCGATGGATGCCGGGATAGGAAATTTGTGTGTTTTGTGTACTGTGGAGGGGGGGGCTTGGCGCTGGAGGTTAGAGTGGGGAATTAGTGGGGGATTGGGGTGGAGTGGAGGATGGAGGAGAGTTGATGGATAGATGGGGCGAAGGTTGATATCTATATCTCGTTGAGGGGTTTGGGTGGGTGCGTCGTGTAGGTGTGATAGGTGGGAATGGGTGTGGTGGGGGGGTTGTTTGGGACTGACGTTTTGTGAACTGGAGTTTTGGGGGTAGAGGATGTAAGGGGTAAGAGAGGGAGGTTGCTTGTGAGCACGATGAAGTGGGTTTGCTGCTACGGCTAGTGGTTGAAGAAGGTCTTGACGTTTTAGTATCGTGCGAAATGGCGTTTCGGGTATGTACATGTAAATTTACGAGTCTTGTAGGTGATACATGGAAAGGATGTAGTGAGTTGAGAAATACAGGTTGAACTTGGATTGGTGTATGGATTTTCCTCCAATAGGCGGGAAGTATGTCATAGACAATTTATATTGAGGTGAAGACATGTAAGGTTCATGTATCGTAGCAGATATCACGACAAGTCATATTTTCTAACTGGTCTTGCAGCTATTTAACTCCCTACGTCTCCTACGTCTCTCTTACCCGCAGTTATCCGACCAGTAACGCGTAGACCGTTTTCCACGCATCTATATAAAACTCAGAAGCGTCCGTGCACACTCCATGTTGACTCCTTGGTCGTCTCGTTCAGCCACCGCTCCATGTGCCATGCTGTCTTTCCTTCTTTTACATTTGTTTCTTTTGATTCATGGGTACTCTGCTGTTTTCATGTCAGTTATGGTTGCATCAATGTCTTTGAGGCATGTACGAACCGGCGCGACTTGCTCACTAGAATTCGTATTCCCGCCGTTTGTTCTATGGGAGTCGCTACTAGTTTGGGCATCCGGTTTCAGATTGGATGAACTCGCTTGAGCATATATGCGTTTGGTTTGGCTGTCTTGCATAATGAGGGAATAGATTGTGAGTGAGAGGTAGATTGATCAAAGTTTTGAATATGGGCTTCAAATGTATAATGTAACTTGATAGTATGTTTCCTGCTTGGACTAACTTCGTACGTTTTATCCCATCTATATAGTTTCTCATCTCCATATCCTGTGGGTGATGTTGAGGGCCGCAAACTACGCTCATGGCGAGTTTGATTCGCGGCCGCGGCCTTCGTTCAGATGAGCATTGGACACTGTTGAGGGCCGCAATACACGAAATCTTGATTGGAGGCCGCATCACTTCTGTAGTGAGATAACGGCCATAGAGCGAATGAAAGTACCCACTTCTGGAGTTAGGGGGTATATTAACGGCATTCTCAAACTATGACTGGTGGCCGCAATCTTAGATTCCATTTTCCAGCACTAGGCCCAGGTGGATGGGCGTTGTGATTTTGCATGAGAGACCATAGGTACATAGGTCGGGCATGCTGGTTGGTGGCCGCAAATATCAGCCAATAGAATTACGGCAAGGACCCACTTTAATAAGCCCATTACATCCTGCCACACGCTCGGAAGAGATACGAAAGAGGATATTTTGGCATTTACTATGGCCGATCTAGCTTCATTGTTCTGGTCTAACCGATATAGGTAGCACATAGCAATTGGATGAGAAGTCAGGCCGCTGGATTGAGCTGACCACTTTCAGCCTTGTTCAAATCTCTCCATCACGTTTCAACCGGAGAGGAGCTTCTTGATACTTGCTTTGTGACCTACAAACCACTATCAATGAGATACCAGAAGCTATAAACCTCACTATATTACCTATGTCGTTTGCAACACAGCCGCACACCTCTCATTCGCAGAGAAGCTTCTCCGCGCCTCGATCCGATGCCCAGATAAGAGAGCGTTCGGGGTCGAGATCATGGAAACAAAGGGAGTCGACGGGTAATGTATCCACCAAGAGTTACTTTAGAGTAGATGAAGGGTCAATTCTACTGGATGTAGCGTTGGAAGATCAACCCTTGCTAAGTCTATTGCCAATACTGGAGCTGGAGACCACTTTGAAGGGTCTCCTCGATATATGCCTCTTGCTGGCACACTCCAACCGCAAAATCATGGGACCAATCATTACTACTATCAAGTCCATTTTGAGGGAAGACGTGGATCCTTCCTATTTCGTGCGACTTGGCACGGTTTTTTCTGATGGTCAAATACGCGACGTTTTGTTCTCTTATCCGACAGGTAATACTAAGTTTTTCTCTGATTTTGGTACTATCTCCGGTTCAGTTGAATACAAGATTTGGAAGAAATTGCAAGAGCCAAATCCGGAAAGCTATAAAAGGCAACAACAGGCGCCGCAGGAGAAACGACCGTGCTGCAAGCCACATCACAGAAACAAAGTGCAAAAGGAGCCTTTCAGATTTACCAAGGTCCTGACAAGAGATGATACTACACTGGAGATCGTTGATAACCTCGAGCCAAATCCCTTGTCTTCGCTTCAAATCGAGACTAAAGTGGAGTGGCGTACGGCTCACGGCCGAGCATCACTCAAGAACTGGAGACGCGCAGCCGGAAAGAGCAAATCCTGGAAGCCATGTTTGAAAAGTACAGTACCGAAACAGACTCATCTCAATGGAAGAAGACGAAGCTCGAACGGGATTGTGTATCGTTTTGCACAGCCCCCACCATGGCTACCAGCTACATTCCTACGTTCCCAGACAAGAGAAAAGTCTTCATGCCCAGGTTATGTGCTACGACGTCAAGAGATTGATTCAGTGCCGAGGCGGGCAAGATGTCATGATCCCTATGCCCGTGAGTTTGAGGATACGCATATTGCTCCGCACGGAAAACACCATACAACAGCAGCTCAGAACGTCAAAACCTGGGAATCTAAACCGGAGATTGTTGAGGACATGAACAAGGAGCCAGCCGGTACATTCATACGGTTCACATGGAAAGACAAAATCCTAACCAACGGAACTGGACAACTCGATCGATTCTTGTCAACCGGCTCTATACTACACAGCCATTGGCATATCACTGGTTTTGTCCGGAACGAAAGCTTTGCAGATGTTTACTCGCTAAACAAACCTCCCATCACTCTTTCATCAGGAGAAATCGGGACATCACTAGAGGCACACGTATTCCTTGACGAATACCACGGGAATTGCGCCGTCTACGCCAGTCGCTCGAAGAACCGCATGCGACAAAGTGGAAACTGTCTGGACATTTTCTGGCACAACGGCAGGCACATATTCATTATGAAGATAGCAAAGAAGCCTGATGTGTTCAAACTACGCAACACGAAAGAAGAGTTTCCTGTTCTTGTCAATCAAGACAAGTGCAATGAGCATGTGGCTCTACAGCGTCACTATTTCCGTAGCAGACCTAGTTTTGCAGCGATGGCTGGAGAAGGATGGCCAGATGCTAATCCAAAGTATCGACCGGTGCAGATGGATAAGGGTCAATCCGCACTCGAGAAGGAGTTGGAAAGGATTGAAAAGGTGCGGGTGAAGAAGGCAGAGAGACAGAGAGTGAAACGGAAGTTGCAAAGGGAGGAAAAGCTTTTGGAGAAGGAACACAGATCGGCTATAGCGACGGCGTGTATGTTTCTTCATGAGTAATGCTTCAATTCTTTAGATGTCAGCCGAATTTGAACATGCCTGTTCTGGCTCTGATCTTCACAGCATGACCAAGTTTCATCATGCATCAAAAAACTTATAAAATCATAAATCAATAGTATTTTGAAACTAAGATAAGTCCGCGGCTTCTCTTTCCCCGGAGTCCCTCGCTCGAGTTATTGCCCGCGGCTTCTCCGTTTAGCAAGCGTACCACGGCTGCTTGATTTTGACATTGGTACGGCCTCCTGATATTCTTCTCGAGCGCCACTGCGCTTCCTTTTACAGTGTATCTACCTTCCGGGCTATTGTAGGCCGGCTGGTCTTCTGCTTTGAAAGCATACTGCAGCTGCTAGACTCGTGTTCGAATACCTCCAGGCCCCTCCTCAATCTACCAAACTTTGCCGATGCTTCTCTTTCGTAAGAGTACCTCGCTCGAACCTCTATGACGTTCTCAATGGATGGAAATTTCCTAACCGCGCCATCTCTGTCAGGCGCAAAATATATGCAATCAACTGACTCCTTGGCGGCGGCTACGAAAAGGAAGGTCCGATCCGTTTGCTCAAATATCTGCCAAAGAACGGACAGAGCATACACACGAGTCGACAGCTTCGACCCTCGGTGCCTGAACTGAAAGACGATGAAAATAGCCAGGAAAATAAAACAAAAATGAACCAGAAAAAGCAAAAGGAACAAAAGGCAGAGTGAAAATGCCAAAGAGGCGAATTCGGAGGGAGATAGCCCACACATGCCAACCCAGAGGAACCAAACCTAGAAAAAATAACCCCAAAGGAACCAAAGCAAAATGGATGTAGGCAAATGAAACCAGGAAAAGCAAAAGGAAACATTCATAAACGCTCCGATATCCCCCACTTCAGGTTGTCTCTTTTACCTCTTCTCTCGGATGGGAACGGTAACGACTCCGTGCCCACATCAATGCCATCGTAATTGATGGTAGCTAGTAGAATAAGCTCCCACATAAGTAGCAACGTGCGTCGTGAAACAAACAAGTCTTGATGTTCTTTGAGAAGAGGCCCTTCCGTGGTCTTCAATACCCCAGGATACCTTTGCGCACCTCTATCAATAGAGGGTTTTATAAGCCATGATCATGCTGACATGTCCTTGATCTGTTCGATGGACAGAAGTGTCTTGATTTAGAATCGGAACTCCACCGAGGGTGTGGAGTGCGATCCGTAATACCATAATACAGATTCGCTTCAACTCGCAGTTGCAAATATTAGAATTCAAAATGCTCACGATACGTGTTGTCTTACGAGCAAGCACAAGGGTTCTTGCCGCAGGTCCTACAACGATGATTCCCTGTCTTAGACGTTCGTAAGTGGCGTACGAGAGAGTCTTTTCGAGTATAAGTCTTGGAGTTGCAAATGCACATGAAGTTACTCGCCCGGGGGGAGACGCTCTTGAGTGCAGGACACGAAGGCAATGCGTTGTTGGATCCTAGGTGACGTCTGAGGTCCTTTGGATGCTTTATTGGCTGTCCGCATTGTTCGCATCTGGAAGGTGCCTTGCAGCTGTGCCGATTGACATGTTGGTCGTAGCGGAGCCTACTCAGAAAAGACTTGGTACAGGTCTTACACACAAAGCTCATCCCTGCAGGCTCGATAGCCACTTTGCCGTCTGGTATGTTCAACCCGATCTGAGTTGTATCCGGTGGGCTTGCTATTTGAGGGGTGAGTTGGCCGAGAGACGGTAATGAGGACGGGCTTGGGTAAGCTTCAATGCTCGTGTCTTTGGGGATGTCTGGCGCTTTTTTGTTTGTAGCCGGCGTGAGAAGTGGTTGTTGTACGTTAGATGGAGTAGGGTTTGGATATAGTTGCGATTGCGAGTTTTCGGCTAAGGTCTGTTTGGTGGATTGATCGAGCCATGACCGAGAGTAATAACAAGGTTCGTGTACATGTTGAGTTAACAAACTGGGATCAATGCAACCCGACGTGTTTGAATACCTGGAGCCTGAGGTTCTTTGATGAACACTCTCGTCCAGGGTACCAAGAGGTTGCGTAGTATTAACACTCTTGTAACCGCCGTATATTGCATTGCCCAAGTAGTTTGTCCGCTCCAACGCGTCACTTTGTGAACACTCATTATTGTGCTCTGAATAATCAAGTATCTGACCGTCCACCAGCGAGACCGAATCGTATAATGGTTCATCAGGACTGAATTGGAAAGCTTCTGAGGCCAAGAACAGATCTGGATCTTGCTCTATGCGATGATCACTAGGTAATAGTTAGCACTAGCGCCATCCAGCCATTTCCTCGACATTGCATACTAGTGGTAGCTGGAGATTGTTTAAGCGGCCTATGTAAGGCCGCTTAAACAAGGCGCTTCTTCACGAGAAAGTTGGGTTCACCCAACGGATACCTAGCGGATGCGGGGTTGCTGCGGCAGAGCCGCCTGCTGGTCCGCGATGTACGTCAAGTTCAATATAGGGTTCGGACGGTTGTAAAAGGAAGATTTCACAGAGTTGAGGAAGAAAAGGAGGGAGCGACAAGATTTATATATGTAGTTACATACATGGCGTAGCTGGAGTGGATCAACGAAGCGTCTGATTGGTGGCCGCAAGAGACTGCCTCGAGGCTGATACACGCGATCAAGTGTGGCCTACGTCAGTAGGGCGGCAGCCACTGTTATGCGAAGCATATGTATGTACGTGGCTTGATCGCATTTGTTCACAGAAAATGAACTGACGCGATGTTAGTTTGTTATATTCGGCAAGACAGGGTCGTGTTTGGAACGTGATCTCACGTGACCATCTGCTGCTCCACATTTCACTTGTCTGGCTGTCTCCTTTGATACGTATGTACATACATCAAGCTTCTTATCACCTGTGGCCTACTGGGCCATGCTGGTCTCTCCCCTTCTACTCTGGTTTATTGATGACAGCACATATGATCCAGTGATGTCCTGCGTCATTGAGGCGCAGTACTGCAGCCACTTGGGGCTGAGTACATGTCTTAACAGCCACAAATTGGATTGCCAAGAGGCGAAGCAATAATGTATGTTTAGACCAAGATGTCCTCGAGTTTTCGTTGAGTTCTTATCCCACAGGAGCTCTTTTCCTTCGGCCTTCATTATTATTGTTTTGTTCATAAATATGGAAAGATAGCTTTTCCGCCCCCAAACACCCCCTCTAAATACCTAGCGACGTAGTTCGTTTCGAACCTTCGGAACCGACCATGAGTATGACTGGAAGCGCGACCAATACAACGGAGAATTCAGAAATACATGTAATCGGGGTAGATCTGAGTAGTACTCTGATTCCTCCTGTTGGGCGTAATACTGCTTCTGGAAGGCCTATAGAGACCCCGGCCAACAACGATGGTGTACAAACCGGAGCAACGCATGCAAGTCCTAAGGACCCTAATCAAAACATAGTTTCACAAGTTGATTTTGGCGATAACAACGTTGGGTTTCAAGCCGGCGTCATTAATGGTGATGTCCATGGCATTACCTTCCACTACCCAGACAACCAATCGATATTCGGTAGCCTTGTACAAGGAAGTCAACCTCTAGACACATCCACTCTTGAGATTCTCGCCAGAAGAGCTCAAGTCCAAGCTGGAAGAAGTGTAAGGACAACACTAGGCAGCAGCAGCATCATTGACGGAGATATACTAGCTAACAAAATATAGGTGCCCAAGCAGTTACAGGACAGATGCTACGCTCCATACAAGACCGTGAGAAATCGAAAGATCAAACTGAGACTTCTTCAGATTGCTAGCGTCACCAAATTTCTCGATCGAGGCTTCGCGGAATACTTTCAAGTCGCGGTGCTTTCGTTTGGCAAGCACCAAGCGCAACAGCTGCTGCAAGATGCCCGCAAGACAATCGCTAGGATGCAGAACAAGCAAGACGACCCTGACTCTGCTGACATTGGCGATCTCGGCCACTTTTGCGAGCAGAGCGCAATCACATCAGGTGATGCTGAGCAACGGCGTCCAAGATTCACAGTCACACAGCGGCGCGACGAAGAAACTTTGCACTATCTACAAGACGGACTCGAGATCCCTTACTGGGAATTCATGGCCGACATCTTCTTGGGATGGAAGGCGAACTCGAGTGCTCTGAGCGGAGACGTCGTGTTGCGTGTTTTGCACAGCACAAAACTGGAACTTCTCGATGGACGGCGGCGCCTTATGGATGAGATGGTCGCTTTGCAGGGCGATGATGCAGAAGACATAATGCCAATTATTGATGGAATTGATGCTAGAATAAAGGTCTTGGATAGCCTTTGGGATAGTGCATCGTCGAATCCTGATGGCACTCATTATTCATTGGTCTCCTTCCTGGAGCAGCCGCTACGCCAGCCTTTGATTGCTGTCGAAGAGACCACGCTTTCGTCTCAAGATGAACAAATAGGACATCAAGTGGTAAGATTTATCTCTTAGTTTTCTTACATCATAAAAGAGGCTAACACATTGGTGCAGGAAACCGCAACACTCATCGCCCTGATTCTACTCTTCATCATCGTCGCTATAATCCCCGGATACAAAGCCTTCGCGCTGTCAATGCAAGACAGCGCGGTCGGAAGTATCGGAGATGCAGATTTCTGGTATCTGATTCAAAGCAGTATCATGGCAGTGATGGGCAACGTCATCATGGTTGTACCATTGTTCAAGAAGTCGTGGTTCTCGCCAGCATACGGTCTAATGTGGGTATTCTTTGCCCTCGGTCTTGCTTTTGCAATCGTTGCTGTTATCATTTACCCATTGCTCAACCCTGGCTGGAGCTCCATGGTCGCTTTCTTTGGGTCGATCGCATCTGTTGCATCAGTGTTGATCATGACCCAGGCGACTGCAAGGGAGGGAACCAAGGCTAAGGTCAAAACGGATTGAAGCTTGGTATTATATAAAATAGATATTAGTCAAAAGATGAATACAGGAATTGAAAACTGCCACCACAAATTTTTAATACACACCGCTACCTTGCTCTTCAAATATATCCACGAGTCCCACCAATACCAGAACAAACCCCAACCCACCCACTTCACTCCCACCGGCATCACTCTCGGCCCCACCGCAAAATCCCGCACCCGCAAACACTACCAAATCCAGCACTAACCCACATCACCCACAACCCTAGTAGGCCAACACGTCCACTTCGCTCCCCATCACCAAACCTCACTCCCTCGGCGCAATCCCCTCCCCCCCCCCCCCAAAACCACACACCCCAAAACTAACTTTCCAAATCAACACATTGGAAATACGGACGAAAACATGTCAAGCTTTTTTGCCTTTCCTGTACAGAGCCAAAATGATTCATGGCACATACACATATGCAGTGAGATGCTTGGCGAGTGTTATCGATAAAACAGGGAAAGCAGGGGGAGGGAGTGGGAGATTTTGAGTTCAGCCCTACGGCGAGGCATTGCAAACGTAAGACTAGGGATGGGTAAGGTTAGGCGGGCTGCTTAACTCTACTGCGGGTGTGGCTTGATATGGAAGGTTTATTGGATGGAGGGAACGGTTTGAGCATTTGTTGTTGCATCAAGTTGGAATCACAGCACAGTGAGAGTATATGTTTTTACAAAACATGTGCACGAGCACTTTGATTCATTGACTTGACATTACACTAACATTTTCATCTAATAGTAGTTAAGGTGTGTTCCTCCGTTTCTCATCGTAATTAATCATTGTTCCGATATGCGTTGCGTATCCCGTATTTACAAACGGATATCGTTGTAGAGGCACTTGATGGGCTTGTCTGTGTAGGAGACCCTTGCGGTGAATTCAATGCATGAGGGGCTGGCAGGGAACTCGGGGTTGTTGACGTTGACGCTGTAGCCTTCGCCGTTGCGGAGGGGGCAGCCCTGGAAATTGAGGGCGCGGACTCCCTCGGGAGAGTGGTCGACGAGGAACAAGGCGTCGTCCTTGATGGTGAACTGAGCAAGCTCAAAGTTCTCGTCGGGGGTTGGGGCGACTCCGCTGTAGAAACGGATGCGGCTGTTACCGAACTCGGAGAGGTCGACGAATGCCCGGCGAGGAGGGTTGTCGGTGTAGAGGTAGAGATTGTTGGGCTCGTCGCTCAGGAAGAAGCTAGCGTAGTTGACATCGGGAACACCGCAAGAAGCATTTTGCTTTGGACCAATGGCAAGTCCGTTGTCGTACGTGCCGACAGCGCCCAGATGGATAGGGCTGGTACCGCTCAAAGGAACAATCGAAAAGACTTGTGAGGCACTGGCGAGAGCCATGGTGGAAGCGAAGAGTGCGGAGGTAGAGAACTTCATGGTGACTATTTGGGGTGTGGCGGTTGTGAAGGGGTTTTGTTTTGTAGCGAAAGTGTTGTGAGTTGGTTGTGGTGGATGAGAGCCACAGCAGCTGCTCGCTCGACCTTATATACCTTTGTAAATACCATCCATGTGGGAACAAAATACGAGGGTGATGGCATATTACCGAGCGTTTCTCCATAGGGCCCCCGCAAAAAGCCTGTGAATACGATCGGAAGTTCAGGATAAACGGAAACGATGGACGACGGTCCCAGTTCTGGTTGATGCGGCCGGCCCACCCGCTAAACCTCCGGCTGACATCCGAAAAGGGACATGCTATTAGTACTAAACGTCAGATCGAAGGTAAATGGAAGGTGTTTCCCAGCCACAGGATATACTTAGCAAGGTGCTAAGATTTAGTGCAGAAGACCTATCTATTGAGGCGAGAGGCCGGGTGTGAGGGTGTAGAGATGGAACTGGGGAGAACTCTCAGAAAGGACTAGTAGCGTGATGACGTCGTGGGCAAAGTGACAACAAGATGGCTGTGAGGTTACATACCGCCGTATTTCGGTGGCAAGGATGGCGCCCGTGCAGGGTTTGTACGAGAAACTCAATACAGGCGGTAAGAAACAACGACGTGGTTTAGACTGAGGGAGGAAATTGATCGGTGGCGGTAAGCAGGAACAGGCTAGGAAGTGGAACCGGGATGCCAGAGTCGGCACCATGATCCACGACGGTAGGCGAAGAGCGGCAACGACGCCAAGGAGCATGTATTTCAAAGGATGAAGTTCATGTATTTATTCTAGTATAAAGTTCACGAGATACAATAGTGACTTTGTGAAGTGGTGGACGCGCAGTCGATGTGAATTCGCGCTGCTACGGAACCATACCACACTGATAGTTTGAGTTGACCGTAGGAGATCAACAGTGTCAGCTCGTACATATGTACTCACACGAGTACTTAACATTTGTTAGATCGTACGAGTCGCTTACTATAGTCTTTTCAAGTTGCGGACGATCATATGGCAGTGAGTCGGCAGTTGGTGTCTTGGCAGCGCTATTGGTAGAAGTGCATATGTGCATGTATGCCGACTTAGTCTGGAAGTTCTCTTGTTGGCAATATTAACAGAAGTGTGTACGACTTGCTGGGACGCATTTCAAGTGTACGTAAGAATCCATGGCCAAGGTGGAGAGGCAGCCCCTTGATGGCGCAGCAGCCAATGGGGAGGGCGACCAGGTATGACGTTTAGCGCGGCAGCTTCGTACCCTCGCCTCGCAACGTCTTGTCGCAAGCCCGGGTTGCGCAACACCAGCCTCTTGTCCCTTTCCTCTCACACTGCCCAACGGAGCCACATTCGATCATCTCATCTTCCATCTGTCGCTGTCGTCTCCGGGCTCCAGCCAAAGCTAGTCACCGTGCGGTTCCCTCATCTTGCCAGCCAATCCTCGGCCATGGATTTCTCCGACATTTTGTGAGTACACCTGGAGCTTTTGCGAGCTGCACACGACCATGCAGCGCTGTGCAGAGCTGTGCACCATCTCGCGCCAGAAGCTCCAGCCTCTGTCTTATTGAAATGATGACTAATGCATCTCTAGTCGCATGGTGAATTTCGCCGTTGCCGTCTTCGTAGTCCTTGGCGGTATCGCGAAGCTATTCCCCTTCAACGATTTGTGAGTATGCCCTATGTGCATTCCACTCGAATGGTCTCCAAGATGCCATTGACAGGGTCTGGGTTCACTTGTCTCGTGCTGACAGTACTTCAGCTCCCACATCATCCTCGGTGTCTACCTAATAATCTTTGGTCTTGGTAAGTTGGTGCCTGCCGCTATGCGATGACGACTGCTGACATGGCCGCAGGAACTGCCCTCCTTGAGTTCCAGATCCCCCAACAAGTGGCGCGATATGCCTCGTTCATGTTCTCGTTCCTCGGCCGCGGCATCTTCTACATCTTCATTGGTTCCGTTGTCGTAGGCGACGGCTGGTACCGCATCATACCCGGTACCATTGTTGGCTTCATTGGTGTAGCTTATGCTGCTCTGGAGTTCGTTCCCTCGATTGAGCCCCCGGCAAACATGCGGTATGCTGAAGATTGTTGAAAACGCTTCTCGTTGCATATCTGACCGTACCTAGTGATGCCGATGCCGGCGCCGGCTGGGGCGCCGAGCAGGTCTAAACTCGACATTGACGATGAAGAGGATGGCGCTCGAAGAGTCCTCGCAAAGATATTGCCCGCGCGGCCTTTCAGCCTAGGCGGCAACCTGGTCGCGCGCTTTCCCTGCATCCAAACCAGGGATTGTGTGTGGTTGGTTGGTTGGCGGGAACAATGAGAGAAATTACTGCTTTTATAACGAGTTGTTGGAGGAGATCTAGGTCTCGACTTGGAATAGGCGAGTGGCTACTCTGGAATCTCAAGTTGAGAAGGAGAGCAAGCCACTGCTTGGATTGATGGGGTGTAGCATAAGTAGTGTGTAGGAGAAACAAACAAGGTCATAGTACTTGGCGAGGGCTCGCTTGCTTGGTGTCCGCAGCATATGGGGCGGAGAAATGTTGTCGCATGCATGCATGTATGTATATATATATATATATGTCTGTGTATATCCACTGTCCAAGGAGGAAGCAGGGTATAGCTACATGAGCAGATGCATGGTATTGCTTTGGCTTGATTGGATGGTTGGCATGCCTCGGTGGCGTGTGGAGAAGGTCGCGTTATCTATCGCTAGTCGTAGGCGAGCCGGAAGCCGATCCGCTGACAGTTGGTCCATTTGGCAAGGCTTGGGTGGAGACGAACAAGACTGATGAAGAAGGCGACCGTTGCTGCCCGCCACAACAGATAGTCTGGGACCCCTGATGCCTGGGCAGCCGCTCTGCATATACTTGTGCTCGAGCGGTGGTTGGCTCCTGATGCGAACGGCTGCATGCATGTGTGAGTACATAGTGACGAGGCTGGACCGCTCTCCGCTGACCGTCTTGTCTGCCCCATGTTGAAGGCGACCGTGGACGTGCTCACAGAGGGTCATGGCGCCAGCCCTCGGCTTACAATAGCAGCGGCATGATTGGCCACTGGCCCCCATTCACCGCCTGAGAAATCCATCTGGTACCGCACCAGCAGCGCACCTGGCCGAGTGGCCATGCTCTGTTGGATCATCACGACGGAGATCCCGAGCCCACCGAATATATCTCCGTGCGAGGCACACAGCCCTCAAACCTGCCCACCTGCCCGGTTGACTTGACCTTCCCTGTGCTGCACCTGACCATCGTTGTACTCGTACGCCCCAAGACCCGCATAGTCGCCCAAACACACATTAGCGCCTGCTGCAACTGCAACTGCCACTACACTGGCTAGCATATCCCATCCACGCTAGATCAAAGTCCGGTACCTGTCGCCCCCAAGCCACTACTTGCGTCTTTCTGCTTCAGACGATTCTGTGTGTGCAATCAGGCAACAGTCCATCACTACCATCCCAATAAGACCCTTCTCTCAACACACACATATCCTATTCCGAGCAAAGACGAGGCTCCCGCCTTATGGCGCATCCCTCGGGAAGTGGAGGCACCTCATTCGCTCCTACTCCTACCCATCCGCACCAGCTATCTAGAGAAACCAGCAGAGACGAATTGGACATGGCCGAGAGTCTCCGCTTACTGAACCAGACTCACGAACACCAGAAACCTAGGGTAGAGGCCACTTCACAAGAGCAGCAGCAACAGCAGCAGCAGCAGCATACCCATGCCCAGGAGGACCAAAGATCCGAGATATACCACTCTCTTGAAGATGCCGTGCCCATTGCAGACGCTCCCCCAACCCCTTCAACAGCAGCATCGCTACAAATACCCAACATGAATTATGAGACTCCCAATGCATCCATCACCGGGCAGATTTGCAGGTATGTTGTCTGCTTTTTCCGTAATCTTCCCGTGTAATCTACTACTGGCTGTGGGCGTAATGCTGCAGAGGGTCTGCAAGGAAATCGCTGACGGACACAAGTAACTGCAAAACAACGCAGACGCCACTCTGGCGCCGGTCGCCTGCTGGGGAAACAGTGTGCAATGCATGTGGCTTGTACATGAAAGCACGGAATCAGTCGCGGCCAGTGAACCTCAAGCGCAACACACAGACTCAGCCAAGTATGTCGGTACAGCAAAGCCCAACTCCAGGGTCCACCGATGGCGGCCGAACATGTGCTGGAAATGTTGCCGGTAGCCCGCGTGTCGCAACCTATGTTGCTGCCGATCAGATGGCGGCCGGGACATGCCCAGGTGGAGGCAGGTGCAATGGCACTGGGGGCCAGCAAGGCTGCAGTGGCTGTCCCGCATTTAACAATCGTGTATCAAAGACAGCCAAGTTTGCACTAGCCCAAGCAAATGCGGCGCCTGGTGAGAACCGGGGTGGGAGTGATGCCGCATCTTCGACTTCTGCCTCTGCGTCAACAAGTGCAATCCCAGCTTGCCAAAACTGTGGAACCACAATTACACCACTCTGGAGACGAGATGATGCTGGACACATCATCTGCAATGCTTGTGGTAAGTTGGTAGTGCCATATCTACATAGATGTGTAGTATCGATAGATGACTAATCCTCTATGCAGGACTCTACTACAAGCTCCACGGAACCCACCGCCCTGTTGCAATGAAGAAGCAGGAGATCAAGCGTCGCAAACGTATCGTACCAGCTGCCGAAACAGGTTCGCAAGCCGCTTCATCAGTCGCGAACTACTCGCCTCCACAGAGACCTTCTCAAACCCCTGCATTCGAGCACTCGGTTTCCCCAGATCCATCGACTGCACTGGAGTCTCGAGAAGACTACACGCCTGAGCCACCCAGGGGTCCAATCGCAGTCGACTTTACACATTACTACAGCAATTCATCAGTAACATCGAATCCAGTGGCCCTCACGCCAAGCATGCAGCCCAGCGCGCCATCGCCCAGAAAACGAAGTCGCAGCGCGACTTTAGATCCCGAAGAACCAGTAAACCCACTGCCTCATCGTCCAAACGCGATATCATCTATTTTGAACCCATCCCAGACAGACGCCGATGCCAATATTGACCCCTCGCTCTCCGTCCCGCTCCGCACAAGTGGAGGAACATCGCCTAACTCCACCTTGTCCCAGGAAGAAAAAGCAGCGAAAAGGGAGAGACTTAAAAGGGAAGCAGAAGCTATGAGATTAGAACTGGAGAGACGACAAAAGGAGTTAGAGGAGTTGGAAAATGACTGATATGTTTACATGATTTTTATGAAAATCTAAGGGGAAATCCTTTTCTACGAATGCCCTATGTTTCCGAATAGGGTATACTAAATGATAACGATAATTGGGTGGGCGAACATAGCCATCAGGAAACTTTGTGGGATTTCATCAATGAATTGGTATGTGTGGAATGTGGCATCACGGGTCTGAGGGAATGTATTGTCGATGTGTATTCCTTATTCATTACTTTTCTTCTTTGCGGTCTTGAAAGATTGGATCTTCACTTGGAAAAAGGCATCTGCGTAGGATCATTCTCTCAATGAATCGAAGAATGGGATATGATGAACAATACAGCCTAACGATTTGACATGACAAAATAAATGAGTAGTGACATCTACAAAAAAAAGAGAGCATTACCACTACCCTATCTTTTCCCCAACCTCCCCTCTATTATTCCTTATTGCTCACAACAGCCCTAACTCTCTTCCCCACACACCCCTCAAAATACGGATTCCGACTCACCTCCTCGCTCCCCTCGACCGCAAACATCCTCTCCTCATCCCACGCAATCAACCCCCCCTTCTCCACCAACCGAATCGCCTGGCCCCTATCTTCCAACCCCATCGTACAAACCCCCTTATGCACCTTCCAGTCCCCCTTCTGACATGCATCCGAGCAATATGTCGCAGTCCCGCACTTGCCACAACGTTGGAGCGCTTTGTCTGCGGCGCCAGCCGAACCGCAACTAGTGCACGTGCTGAGATCAAGGGCTTTGTAGAGCCAGTGCGGAGACATGGGTATGCCGTCGCCCCAGATATCCATGGGCGCGTACTCGACGCACAGGTTGTGTTTTATACGCTTACCGGTTTCCCAGCGGCGTTGCACGAGGAGGCGGGATAGCAGGGTGGAGGCGAGGCGCGGGATTAGGGCAGAGGAGGTGATATCGCGGGGGCCAAGCATAGATTCTTTTGGGTTGGGGATCCAAGTTCCTTTTTTCGGGGGTTCCTTCTCTTCTACTTCATCATCGTTGTTGGCATTTCCTTCTTTTTCGCCTTCTTCGTTGGAGTTGTCGGGGTTTTCAGTAGCTGCATCTTCCAAGACGATGTTGTAGGTTAACATTATCGCCCAGTTCTCGCCACTTGCATCTAGCTGGCCGAATGTGATTTGATTGCCGATACGGCCGATTTCTATCTTGCAGCCGGATGGTGTGCCTGGTTCGATGGATACAGTCCATGTGAATGAAAACCAGGCGTCGAGATCGAGAAATGCGGCGAGTGCGTTGGGGTGCCAGTTGTAGAGGAGGGTTGCTATGCCTATTGCTGGGGGAATGGTAGTATTTTTGTTGTTGGTGATTTCTGATGCTAGAGATTCTGTGTCGACGATGCCGAGGGGCGCGCCATCCAGAGTCAAGGGTGCGTCTGGATAGTCTGGGAGTCGGAAGTCCGTTAATGGAGTGTATTTGAGGGTCATTTTGTTTTTGGTAAGATGTGGGATAATGTGAGGAGGTGCTGGGTCACGAGCGGATTAGGAATGTATGCAGTGTGTGAGTGGAGCAGTTTTGAAAATTCTCATTGGTTGGTTGGGTAGATGGTGCGTATGTTTGCGATGCTCACATTAACGAGTTGTGTAAGGCATGTAAAATTTATTTTCCAGTTATATTAACAGCTTCTATGACTGGCTCGGTTACATGACTACTCGCCACCACTTAGTTGCCTCCATATCCCTGTAGCTGGTGCGGCTTTGGTCCCTGTTGAACAGGCACACTTTCCAATATACCCGTATACTTTGTAAGCATAACATCCGAACTGGTCATGGTGTGCTTATACTTGTCGCCTCCAAATTCGAATAAGAAGTTCATGGGGAACCCAATGTCGAACGGAACAGCCGAATCAATATCGTCAATCTCCTCTTCAGTTAGCTCGATTCCCAGCGCCTCAATGTTACCCTTGAGGTGGTCAATCTTGCGACCGCCGACAATCGGGTAGACATAAGGGTACTTGTGTCGGACATAAGCAAGCGCAATACTTGTGATCTGGGTGTTCTTCTGTGTCGCGACTGCTTCGAGCTTCTTGGAGATGGCGATGTGCTTTTCGGAAACGGGGCCCATGCTGCGGCCTTGCTCGTTGTTTTTGCGCTTTTCTTCAGTGGTAAAGTTTCCGCCACCCAGTGCACCCCATGGGCACAGTGCCATACCCTCTTCGCGGGCCATAGGGATAATCTCGCGCTCAAAGTCTCGATCAGCAGCAGACCAGCGGCCTTGGTAAACACTAAATCCGCGCAATCCATGATTCCGAGCATCTGTAGCGAAGTTAGTGAAGTTGAAACACGTGGTTGGGATTGATGACCTCTACTGACATTCATTCGCCTTGCTGACAACCCATGCAGGTGTGTCACTGACTCCAAGGTACAACACCTTTCCGCTGTTCACCACAGCGTTGAGGGATTGCATGAGCTCTGGGATGCTCGTGGTGAAGTCCCACCAGTGCACGTACAACAAATCAATGTAGTCAGTCTGGAGCTTCTTCAGTGATGCCTCTAGTGATAGGCGAAGAGATTTGGTGCTGTAAATCAAATCAGCATATATTTCGGTATGACACCCTCCACCAGCACGTACCTGTTTCCTCCATAGTTGATCTTTTGTCGTGGCGCGTTGTTCGGGTCAGGAAAGCAAGTAGTAAATTTTGTAGCCAAGATAATCTCATCTCGTACTTTACGCTCCTTCATCCACTCGCCGATCCATGTCTCTGACTCCTCAGCCTGGTAGTTGTTTGCACTGGATCAAAGTTAGCCCCACAATTCAGTATTCAAAGTACTGAGCTGTCTAGCCCAATCACATTGTCTCGGATGGTGCCGGCTAGATCAAAAGGTCGACTTACGTGTCAATAAAGTTGCCCCCTTGTTGGTAGAAGTAGTCCAAAATCTCAAATGTAGTCTTCTTGTCGCACTTGCCCATGAAGTCTTGCCACGCATCACCAAAGTTCATGGCTCCCAAGCAAAGCGGGGAGACACGAACACCGGCTGTGGGCGACATGACGCGGTGGAATTCCAGAAGGGACGCAGCCTTTGGCATATCACCGAATGGAGAAGGCATATTGTATAATTGATATGTAACGAGATTGATGCGGTAAGGTTTTGTGGAGATCAGAAGAGGAATTTGTGTTGAACTGGATTGTTGCTAAACCCATCGTCGCGGACAGCAGCTCCTCCTTATATAACAACCGCGCCTTTGAACCCACATGACGTAGAAAGGCCGAATATATTACTTAGTGTCTATATCCGGCTCAAAGTCCGTTGCAAACAAGAGCCAAACTACCGAGAGGTGTCGGAGACGATCATGATTCTATGGCGTTAAGGCCGGTGTGGGGGAACGGACCCACGATGCTTATCTCCGTCAAATGCCGGGCAGGAGCGTCAAGCCTCGTACGTGGACCGTTTGAAAGCTGTGCACGATTGCTCTCTTTAGAAGCTTGTTGAAGGCTATGTGAAACGAATATGTAAGCAGATGGAGCCCATAAGAATCTGTAGACGTACATTGGCCAAAAAATGCACAATATCACTTAAACAAAAAGGTGCATGATATCCCGCTCTTAAAGTGCAACAACCCCGTACGACACTTGTAACATACGCATCACCATGCCCAGACTTAACCTTGCATGTTCTTCTTCAGTAATGGTAACGTACTTGTTTGCTAAAAAACTCATTGAGGAATTCTTGTAGCCATGCCAATAATAAAGAGCAGTATTTTAATATAGATAGAAGATGCAAGTAACCACAACATATGTTGACTTTTCAGGGTATCCTTATCATGCAAAACTCCAGGTAGATGCATAAGATCAAACACAAGACCCAAGATGCAAACATCTCGGCAGAAGCGACTAGTGCTTCTTCTTCTTTTTCTTCTTCTTGTTTTTGCTCTTCTTCTTGACCTCATCATCACCACCGGCGTCAACCTCGCCTGCCGGAGCACCGAGACGGACATTTCCATACTTTTGCCGTATCTCTTGCTCAAAACTGTCCTTTTCCAGCCTGAACAGCGCCATGGTCGCTCTGGCATCTTCAACGGAACTATGCGCACCAACTTGTATCTCCACGCCGAGCAGCTTCGCTGCTAGCAGCTTCAGCCCTGGCGTACGCCCTGGTATTGATGCCAACTCCCTAAACTTTGAAAACTTGGATGTATCGCGAATGAGGCGCTTGTCATGCTTCAAGATGAGCACATCGAGATCGTTTTTCACGGCGTGTCCAACCAGTATGCGCCCTTGGAGCAGTATCTTGAGGTCGTTCCGTACTTCATCAAAGGGCCGGGCGACGTCTTTTCGCATGTGCTTGGGCTCAATTCCAGAGACGGCAGTTCGGTAGTCTGTGATTTCAATGTGCCGCGGTACCTGCACGTAGGAATCGTAGATTTGGTGACCGTGATAGTTGACCAGAGACACTCGCGCAAGTGCCGAGTCGCGATTGGGCTCTGGTCCTACTCCAACCATTTCACAATCCAATGCCACGTATTTGCCGGGTAGCGCCACCTCTGACACGCCTTCGTTCTCGACATCGGGGAAATCGGGATGGGGTTCGATGACCGATACTGCAGTTTCGTCATCCTTGGCGTCGCTGAGGAGAGGCGTCTTCTTGAGCGAGGGCATTGACGTGCTCTTGGAGAGTGATTTCGTCTCATGTCGCTTGACTGATGCGCCGACATAGGCAGGCTCCTCCATCCTTTGTCGCTTTCTCGAGGGCAGAGGTTTTCGTGGAGTGCTTTTCTCTGAACCATTCAAAGGCTTCGCAGAGCCATGTTCTTGCTTCACATTGGCGTACTGAGATCTCTTGCGCTTGAGCGAGGCCTGCGTCTCGCTGTCCGGCTTCTTGTCCTTGGACGCTGCTGGTGTAGAAGGCTTGAGTCGTTGTTGCAGAATTTTCCAGTTGCTGGAGAGGCTACTCAAGTCGATTGGAGCCATTTTGGAGTCACCTGCAAGGCATCACGATGTGCGTATAGTGACCTGGCAGTGGATGTCGAGAATCTTGGCCGGGTAACTTTCTGCGCAGCAAAAGTTCAGACCCACGCTAGCACCTTCCAGATGTCGGCGGAAGCCCAAGCCCAAGCGCCGACGACCAGGCGGCAACACTGCGACAAAGACCTACGGCATCGCCAACTTCACCGCGACATTAATCATTCCAACACGGACTGTAATCTCCAATAATCGAGCAATAGACAGCGCATCACCATGGCGCCCCGAGAAAATTCTCACGAGCCGTCAGGTACTCCCGCGCCGGTGGAAACGGGATTTGCCACCCTTGCACAGCTGAGGCACGTATCAACCCATGCACAAACTTTGGAGATGAATACTGATGTGTTACGTGCAGAGTAGGCGTAAAGGCATGGGTCGAGAAGGTACGTGGATAGCGCGCAGCGACGCCTTACGCGACGCGAATCCTGGATCGCCAACACAAAGACAGTAAAATGATCACCAAACTAACATTTTACAGGATGGCGAGAAACGCAAAGCTGAGATATTGTCAATACAAACACGGCAGGGCCGACCAAAGTTCTATGTGCATTATGAAGAATTCAACAAACGTCTCGATGAGTGGATCGAGGCCGAGCGCATCGACCTATCTCGAGAAGTTGAATGGCCTGCCCCTGAGAAAGCAGACAAAAAGAAGGGCACTGCCTCCAAGAACGAAAAGGCGCCTTCAAAATCTGACCAAAAGAACTTGAAGCGTTCACGTAGCAAGCTTGATCGCGAAATCTCCGGCACACCAGAGTCAACGTCGAGCAACTTGCCAGGCAAAGCACCAAGGCCATCCAAAGCAGGCGGCAAGGAGAACCAAGAAGTCTTAGTCACCAGTGAAGTCACAGATGGCACTCCCAAGGCCGAGGATGAGGAAATGGACCTTGTCGACGTGCAGGATGCTGCTGCAGCCGCCAAAGCTATGCCTCCTCAGGACTTTTCGCGAGAAGACGAAATTGAAAAACTGCGAACATCTGGGTCCATGACACAGAATCAAACTGAGATCTCACGTGTGCGAAATTTGGAGAAAATCCAGATGGGCAAATACGAGGTTGAGCCCTGGTATTTCTCACCGTACCCCATCGACTTTGTAGACTCAGATGTTGTCTACATCTGCGAGTTCTGCCTATCGTACTTTGGTGAAGTAACGCAGTTTGAGCGCCATCGCACAAAGTGCCACCTTCTCCATCCACCTGGTAACGAAATCTACCGCGACGACTATGTGTCCTTCTTTGAGATCGATGGGCGGCGACAACGAACATGGTGTCGCAACCTCTGCTTGCTCTCAAAACTCTTCCTGGATCACAAGACGCTCTACTATGACGTTGACCCTTTTCTATTCTATTGTATGTGTACGCGCGATGAGCACGGTTGCCATTTTGTTGGCTATTTCTCCAAAGAGAAAGAGTCTGCTGAAGGCTACAACGTAGCCTGTATTCTAACATTGCCCCAATATCAAAGAAAAGGGTTTGGTAAGCTGCTCATTGACTTCTCTTACCTCCTTTCCAAGCGCGAGGGCAAGCTGGGATCTCCAGAAAAGCCCTTGTCTGATTTGGGTCTTCTCGGATACCGTGCATACTGGCAAGAGATCCTGGTCGACATCCTTATGGAGCCCGGCCGTTCCGAAGCCAATATTGAAGACTTGGGAGCTGCGACGGCGATGACTACAAACGACGTACTGCACACTCTGCAGAACCTAAACATGCTGCGGTACAGCAAGAACCAACACGTCATCGTACTCACAGATGCAGTTATTGCTCAACAAGAGCGACAGAAGGCAAAGGAAAAGTTGAAGGGCAAGAGAAGCATTGACCCCGATCGTTTAATCTGGAAGCCGCCTGTGTTTTCAGCAGCGAGTCGCACCTGGAACTGGTAAAGAGCTGTTGACTATCTCTTTTTACTCTTTTCCAGCGGTTCTGAAGTTTTACCATGGCCTCTTTTTCCTCTTTAGAGAGTTGTTACGTTGGTTCTTTGTTCTTCGAACTAGCTATACCCCAATACATTAGATCTGTTCACTTCTTGCCTGTAAAACCGGTTTCATTCATGCTAGTTGTTCAACAGAAGCTACAATAAGTATGTAAAAGCGGTTAAAGCCTATACTTGGATGAGCGACTGGAATCACTAGTTAACGGGAAAAACCCATTGCCCATAGAAGGTCAAAGATCGACACTGTAATGCGTTACCCCGCTGGATGCAACCACGATCTTAGACTACTCTACTTGTCAGGCCTTTTGATCGCTTGAGCGTACAGCTAAGGTATGCATGTATGTATGTTCATGGCTCCAGCATGAGAGTAAATGCATGGCGGGGAAATTGCGCAAGAACCTATTCACACGACGGATAGGTATGTATCATCCAATATGATGTAACCGTATAAGAGCAAGATGAATAATGATCTTTGTAAAATACGGTGGAGACAACTACTGGATCTCAAAGAAGGTATCTCAGCTGCATTTCCAAAAGCCTTGAATAATTCAAGTCCCCCGCAGATGGTGACCACAGCAGATATTACTCTAGCGTCATTTCCAATTACTTGTAACCACTGTTCGAGGCCGAATGCATGCGTTAGTCATGACCCAACTTTCAGAAAGCTAGTGTTGAGACAGTCACGTGACACGTATTGGTCCGTTTTTCTTTTGCCGGATGAGTGAGGAAGCATATTTCTTTTACTTTCTTAGCTTCAATGTATTTCTTCAGATCGATTTAGGCAGAGATTACTTTTCTGAGGAACTATGCACGGTAGATGTTGTTTTTCCGACTCTTCTTTCCAGGAACGAAGACGTAATGGTGGACATGAACCTTTCCTGGCTTACCTGCACAGCATCGATGTAAGTTGGTTGCACCATTATCGTAATTCGGCTGGCTCCCTTCCTGCGTGCATGATAGCTCTGAGACCGTCAGAGAAACTGGGTATATAAACTGTTGATATTCGCCTTCGTTTCTATTCACTCATTAAGCAACAACATCCTTCTTCAACACTCCATCAACAACTTTTCAATAACCGCTCTCCCGGCTATCCGCTCTCCCAGCTATCAAAATGCAGTTCACTACCATTACCTCCCTCCTCTTCGCCGCCAGTGGCCTTGCTAGTGCTGCATCCCTCCGTCCTCGCCAGGAGAGCTGTGCCTCCAACACGCAGGGCGACTACACCTGGAGGATCAGCCGATTTGTCGGTCGCAAGCCCGAAGCTAGCTACTACAACATGATTTCTTTCCATATTGCGTCCACCAACCCGGGATCTTCTCTCGACTACACCTGTACCGCCAGTGCCGACCGCATGGAGGACAGCGTCTTCTATTCATGCGGCACCGGCTTCAAATTTGCGTTCGTGAATGAATACAACGGCTTGGTTTTCAAGTACGGCACCGAGTAAGTTCAATCTCAACTAAATCCTCATCTGAAAATGCAATTTTGTAAACTTCGAAGTATACTAATAGTTACTCCGTTATTACAGCAACCCAATTACGGGCACCGTTGCTCTCCCTATCATCTGCCGTGCGGGCGGCGCAGGCCCCAACGACCAAGTCTGCGAGACTTTCCAGGATCGCTACATTACGCTTCTCAGGCTCCCTAGCAACTAAGTTGGATCATCGTAGGATGTCATTGGAAGGGATAACTGATGCAAGACGATGTGCATAGGATGATTAATGGTGAAGATGTAGTTGCCAACTATAATATATAATTAGCGTACCTAATTTTCAGTATTCACCCTGTCGAGTCAACGAAAGCATATTCCTGAGTGAAACATGTACTATTCCCTGGATACTGTTATGGTTGCACCGTCGTTGAAAGAAACATGAAGAAAAAGGTGGATAGTTAGTCTATGTGCAAGTCAATCCACTCTAATCTGGATACGAACCAAACCATGTAGAGGTGCCGGACGGGCCAACGCCGCGGACGGGCCAACGCCGGATTTCTCCCCAACAGTACTATCACAAACTTGAAGCTGTAGAGCTCTACATAAAAGCTATTATCGCGAGAAACTCTAGTATAGTAATCTCGTAGTATTGTTTATTTGATCTATCTACTGATATTTGATTGGCAGCTTGATGGGGCGGCCTGAACGCGAGCGTGGTGATGGTGGTGCAGCTGATCGATTAGCTCGCTGCGCACCACCACTACTACTGCCAACGATAATATTCTTTGATGCTAGCTCAGTAGAGCGCTTGAAGGTAGGCTTCTTTCCCCTTTGTGAGATTTTGATAGCTTTCTGAAGTCGTTTGTGGGCGGCTTGGCGGGCTATCCGGTGGGCAGCTGCTTCAGCTTTCTGCCTCTCACGATCTAGTTTTGCCTGTGCCCGCGCCCGCCGTCGCGCATCTAGTTCTTGAGCTTTGAGTAGC